GTGAGTAAATGTACACTGTTGTATTTTAATACTTAATACACTGTTTAAACATGTGTCGAATACGCAGAGAGAGAGGGACAGATAGCTAGAAGAACTAGCAAATATCAATGTTTTCACATTCGTGTTTGTGTTTGCCTGGAGTCCGGCCCTGTGCAACAGCTTTCTTGCCAACCCGATGCAGGGTGCTGCTTCGATCCTTGCATGGCACATGAACATCGCAGCTGAGGATCCTACAACGGCTTGAGCAGATGGCTTTTCCTCTGCACGAGGCTGCAGCTACTGCATAATGCGACAGGATGTGCCGACAATGCGGTATATATATATATATACTTATGAGTGTATATATATATATATGTACACATGTATATACTTGTTGTATATGTATACATATATATATATATATGAATGTGTGCGTATATATATAGATGTATGTGTATATATGTATATATATATATATACTACAACTGTATATATACACACATACGTATGTATATGCCCAGTGTGTATCACCGACGCACAACATCAGACCGATGTGGATGTAGACGACTGATACAGGCAACAAGATGCGCTGCTGTGAGTACAGTAGACCAACCCCGAAGGAACCGATTTGTCAAGCGACGTTATCGTAGTAGTATTGTCATTCCTGATTTTAGGAGGATTTCGGTTCCGTGGAGTGGAAGAGGTAGTTCACAGCCCGGGACCGTGATCAGTAATGCTTGCCCTATCAGGAGCTAGAATCATGATGTAGCTAGCCTGATCATTGCCTGCTGTTCCAAGCTCATGTGAGGGACGGTCCAAACTTCCCTGCTCAGCTCAGGTAGCCAAGGAAGGTGACGTGCGCCTGCTCCAGCTCTTGCTCCAGAAGCTTGGCTTGCAAGCTTCACGCATTCATGTAGCCCCTTCATCTCTTCCGCGAGCGTCATGCTTGCCAGCACCCAGTGCACAAGCAGCACGGCAATCTCAAAAACAAGTTGTCTCCTCCCTAGCTGTCTGTCGTACAGGCATGCTTGACAGGATGGATAGTTCTCAAAGCTCAGGCGTCGCGAGAGTCGTGAGGAGCCTGTGGACTATCAGGATTCCAAGGCAGGAGGGAAATTCATCTAGCTGTGGCCCTGTGCGATGGTTGTGGAGGCCTCCGGGGCATTCTCATTTTTTCTCAAGCACGAATCCGGAAGCTGCTGGGGCTGTTGCTGTTGCTGTTTTCCAAGTTTTGGCTGTTCCTCCTGCTGTTGTTGTTGTAGTGGTGGCGGTGGTTGCTGTTGTTGTTGTTGTTGTTGTTGTTGTTGCTGCTGCTGCTGCTGCTGCTGCTGCTACCTCTGCGTTTGTCGTCCTTGTCGTTGTTCTTGTGTGGTCATGTTCTTGCTCAGCTGCAGCTTCCTCCTACCATCATTGCGATGCAGGGCATCACTGCTCTGGGGTATGCAATATGGGCCGGGCATTCGGAAGCCGCGAAGCTGCTCATCGAACGAGGCTGCTAGGTCTGCAATTGCCAGTGTTCAAAGGATCCTGACAGAAGCTGAGAACGGATGTGCTGAACTCACGGAGCAGGCGCCAGATTTCCTCTTGACTGACACAACTCGGCTGCCTCAGGAGCTGATGCACAACTCGTCGTGCCCTGGCTGCTGAAGCAGACACCTGAAAATAAGAATTCTAGGTTTAGCTCACCGGTCGTGCATTCAGTGTGCTGCCTGGGGCTCTTTGTCTTCGGCATTGGTCCCAAGGATAGCTTCGACAACAGCTGCGTCCACTACGCAGCCGGATATGGGCATGCAGAGCTGTTCCTAGCAAGAAAATGGATCCGGGACGATTTGCATGTTTTTGCTCTCTACACTGCAATTGCAGCTATGTTTCCATGTTTAAGACGTCGGTGGACAGTCTTGCATACTCCTATCAGACTATCGTGATGTGCTGCGCCTTGGTGCTCCCACAAACATAAATACTAAGCCACATGCCAGCTTGGGAGCTTGAGCAATAGCAGAACATCGTGGAACAAAATACACATAAGGCCTGGTTTTTGGGTTTCCGCTGTGGAGTGGCACCCGGTTGGCCGAGTCTGAGCCATCGCCTTTGAATTGAACGCCAGCGGTGCAGGTTGGAGTACCTGCTTGAGTTTGGCTTCAGCATGCACCGCACCAATGCATCAGGCCAGACACTGATGAGCACTGCATAAACGGACAAGGTTGCTTCGTCAACAATCCTGACATCAATGCTGGCAGCAGCAATTCAGCCATGTACGAAAGACCAGCTCTGCAATGTGCAGTTGATTCACACTCTGAGGTGAAGCCTAAGCCCAGACCCGAATCTGGCGGAAATTGTGGCCTCTTTGAACCTGCAGGTCTTACTCCGATGGCCGTCGCCATGCAGAGCCACCAGGAGCTCTAGAGGTCTAGGAATGACGACAGTGACGCTGGTCGATGGAGCAGTTGCCTTCTGGATCGCGGTTGCAGCCTCCCTGCAGGAAGCAACAATGCTTGTCCTCGACACCTTCGGAACGACTTGACTTGCTCTGGCCCCCTTGGACCTCGAGGCAAGATTCCCGATTTGATGCCTGGATGAGCCGCGCCTGGAAGGCCTTTGTTCACAGACAGCCCGCCACCTTCAAATTCAGATCGGCATTCCATCCTATCATTTAGGAGGGCATTTCGTAGCGGCACAATAGAAAGATAAGAGCAATGCAAATGGGCGACGTCTTCACGAAGGCTTAAGCACCGAAGCAGGCCGTCGCGCGTGTGCTCCATGGTGCTGCGGGGTGCGGTATAGTGCCGTTTTGGGGCCAGAGTCCACGCAGAGTGGTGCAGCTACTCCGTAGGAATTTGGTGAAGTAGTCATTAGTTAGGTGCTGCCTGCCAGCTGGACTCTGGACACCACATGTCAGATGCCAGCTCTTCCCAGCGTGTCGTGTAAGCCTCATGTTCAATTCTGCGTCTTGTTTCATCCTGGCAGCTTAAGCCAGATTTTCGGCAAATTTTGAAGCAGGGCATCTTCATCTGGCATCTTGCAGTTTACAAGGGCCAGTGCATTGTCGAAGAGCTTATCGGCTTCATGCTTCAATCCCGGGGTCGCCTGGGGAATTTTCTGAGAGTACTCCGCAAGGCTGTTGCTTCAGAATCGCTGTAGTCGCCAATACTCGGGTGCTCGATAATTTTCGGGCACACGATTTCAAGGAAAGTGAAGGCATGAACATGTTGCTTTCACTCCCACTACCTGCCACAGCTGCCTGAAACAGGGCGTGTCAGATGACCATGGTGAGGTATTTTTTCCAGAGGCAATTCTTCGCCTCTTCGAAGTTATGCTTTAGCGGTGCTATGTCCGTTTGAAGGTGGTTGCAGCTGTCCGCGAAGCGCCAGGGACTGTCAAACTGAATCACTGGCGCAAAAGGCGCCTCGCGTTGAGAGCACAGCCATCAGCCTATCCTACTTTTGCAATCGCAGAGCTGACGTGTAGGTGACGACGTTCGTTTTGGCGTCGTGGCCTCCGCTTGAAGCTGATGAATCGGCACAGCCTAAATTATACATGCTGCAGCTGCGGTGCAGTCAGGGTCAAGGTCTTCGTACTCAATGGCAGTTTCATGACAAGCAGGCGATCTCGCTGCGAGAGTGGGCCCTGGCTGTGGCAGTAGGCACTTCCAGACTTTGCTTCCCTGCTTGGGGAGCGGTTTCGATCAGGCATGGTTTAGGTGTTGCCGGGTGAAGTGCGAGGCGCGCAGCCTCGCTATGCGAATTTGCCATGCGACGAATCGCCTTGGCCACCTAGTGGCAGTCGGTTGGCGGAGCCCTCGAAACTCACAAGACTTGTTCTGAGCAGGCGACTGGCATTTCATCTCTAGGAGAAGTCAAGATGAGTCTAGCAACCGGCCGATGTGCCTCGATATGTAGCAGCATAAGCCGCAAGACTGCATCGCAACGAGCTTAAAAGCTCGCAGCCTCAGCGCCAGAGTACAACTGCATCTGCAGAGGAGTGAAGAACTGTACTTAAGACTGACTGCAGCCTGTCAAAGATGTGGTGCCGAGGGAGCTGCAGTCTTGGGCTGTTTCCTGTATGATTACCCAGAAGGTGCTGCGGAGAAGTGCCTGCGAATGGGGATGAAAGGGCAGGTGCCAACGGGAGGTGAGAGGTACCTTGTCTCGGGTTTAGCGCTCCAAGCAAGGATGATTTCGGGAGGATTCGCCCCAACGTGTTTTCATTATTGCGGGTAATCGCGCTGCAACTAGAGATCGAGGACTCATCACATCGTAATGGATCCTGCCAGGCGTGCCACCCCGCACTGATGCATGCCAGGGTTTCTGAAAGCTCTACTTGTATCATGATGGCCGCTGCCTCTCGTCATTCTTTATCCTCTTCGGAAAGTTTTCCATTTCTTTCTACAGTCTGTCATATCCGCTGCCATAGGGATGGCATCGACACGGAAGCTGACCCTCTGAACAGTCTGCGCATCCCTTCGGAGCCCTTGAGCCCTGCAGGCAACTTCAAATCGGTGCGGAGCTCCTAAGCTTTGACCACCTGGAGGTCAGTGGAGAGGCCAGAAGCTATACCGATCCCTACTGGTGCCGAGGAGCCTCTTGAAGTCTTGTCGTGGCCGAGGCGTGGAACCTGACGTTGAACCAGCGAGGCGATCTGGCAGTCTGGCAGTGGGTTTGCAGCTGAGACCTGACGTAGCTGTTGCTTTGAGTGGGGCTCAGCAGGAGTCGGGTCAAAGGCGAAATCCCCGGAGAGTTGCGCTGGCGTTGAGGGAGACCGCTTCTTGTGCAGGGCTGCTTGGAACAAGCCCGGTCGCTGCTGCAGTGGGAAGCGAAGTACAGCTGCTGCTGCTTGGCCTGATAAGGAGGGTCGTCGAACCGTACCTTATTTCCTATAAACCTCAAAAAACACTACTGTACGAAACACCAGACAAACCTGAATCCCGAGTTTGACAGCTCAGCTCAGCTCAGAATGTTCCTTGTGCCAGGCTTTTTCATGACGGCCGGCCGCTGCTGAAGCCTGAGAGCCCAGCATGGCAGGCCATGGCCTGGCGAAGGGTTGTGTGTGTCTGGGTTTAGGGTTTAGGGTTTAGGGTTTAGGGGGTTGTGTGTGTGTGTGTGTGCGTGTGCTGACCGCCCGGTCCTCTGGCGCTCCAGTTGTTCAACCGCCTTCCGAAAAGACTGTAAACTCTACTCGTTTTTAACTCGTAGTGAGGCGAGCCCCAAAAAATTGGGGTGGCACGGTTGGTACGATTCTTAAGTCTTTTTGCAGGCACGTGCTACAGGCAGGTTTGTATGGTCTGTGACTAGTTCTCGGCAGGAAGCGATACTGGACTGGGCCAAGGACTTCAGCATTGTTGAGACGACTGTCTCTGATGATGTATCTTCCCAGAAGCTTTTCCTTGGAAGGATGCAGGCCATGGAACGACGATATTGGGAACTGGTCGCATGTGTACCGGGGCACTTGGACGTCGAGGCCCGCAAAGCAGTCTGGGCTCTGGTAAGACATGGTAGGACCGTTGGTAAGACCATCTAGTGTAATCTATATATATATATATATATACATATATATATATATATGTATATATATATATATATATATAGAAGCTTCACACAGGCTATGTGCAGCGCAAGCTTCTCCTTGATGCTGCTCGAGCAGCTGGATCCCTGCGCCTGGCAGGGCAGCTGGGGGAGAGCTTCGAAGCCTGGCTTCGCAGTAGAACCTACGGAATGGCCTGCTGGGTTAGATATTGCCGGTGAACTTGTTGTAGGAGTTGGGACCCAGGGAATCGTCTGACAGTTGCCACGAGTCAGACATCTCAGATGGGACAATGTATTCGGAAAGCACTGTTACTGATATGCCAGCAGCTGACAACATTGTACTCGGATGATTGCAAAGGCTCGCATGTCAGGAGGCGTCAGCGAACAACGGTCTCGAGAATCCCATGCAACCAAACTGCCGCATGAATCTGAAAGCAGGGGTAGATTTTTTCGAACATGCCGCATAAACGGACAAATTACCGCCCACTAGGCTGGATGGTATTGTTGGCAAGCCACGTGTGAAAAGGATCCAGGGTGTGTGATTGTCTGTTTTGTATCCTGGTTCCGTCAGCTCTCTCGGACACGATGGCCAAGGCGTACTATACGGGGACGCCTTTGAAGCAATCTCCGACGCGATGCTTCGCCGGCACTGATCGCCTGGCTCTTGAGGCCCAGAAAGAGTCACGAAGTGCAACCTCAGTTGCCGCAGAACCTTGAAGACAACAGCCTCGGCAGGGTTCTGGTCGTATCTACATTTTTTTTGAGGCTTCCAGAACAGCAGAGGCATCGGCTTGCCTAGATACTGTTACACAACGGATCGAATGCAGGCCAGGGGTGATTCGGGAAGGCTCGTTCTTGCAGCGTGAAGAATTGCTGCTCGAGTCTTCGGAATCAGCGAAGCTCGATTCCCCGGAAGCATGAGCGAGACTCCAGTCCTCAAGAGCTTCAGCGCTTCGAGTCTTCAGAATCTTCGGAGCTTCACTTCTTTTCGATCCAACTAGCAGTTGTATCGACGTTGGCCGTGTGTTTCGTTTGGTTGTTGCGTGAGTTTTGTCAGTGAAAGTGAGGTTAAAAACCAGTGAATACATGCTTGGGAGTAAAAAACCTCGTGACCAGAACATGTAGCCCTAGTTTCAACTCGCAGTGATGCTATGCATTGGGGCCCAAGTTGAGAGAAGAAGGCAGAACTCGCCGCTGCATCGCCGCTGCATCTGGAAGGCAAGAAACGGGCAGTGGGCTGCGTTCTCATCGGGAAGTGTTGATCGGGCATTCTCCCCAAAAGAAGCATATGAAGGTTGTGAGACTCCCGCAGCAAGAGCATCATCGACTGTTAACAAGCCCAAACGAGTCCCACATTGAAATTTTCTCAGTGCTGCAAGCGACCTTTAAAGTGCTTCAAGCGACCTTTATCAGTGCGGCTCAGGCTACGAGTGGCTCAACGATCCTTGGCAAATGCTCGCATAGGAACACAACCCTGTGAAGCCACCGGGCTTTCCTGATTTCCTGCTTACAACAGAGTGACTAGCCTCCATCGTTGCTTTGCCCAAAGCCAAACCGAAGAGTTAGTCGCCAAGGCATACGAGTTCGGTGCCTTCCAGATTGCGCAAGACAGACCGACAGGTGGTGCCATGGGTCCTGCCACTGTAAAAGCAGTACGTGTAGCATAGTCCTTCTACATTGCCATGACACATGTTCAGACTGACAGGCAGTTCACGAGCAACGAGCAGTGACGAGGTGGAGTGGCTCATGGCACCTTGGTCGGTCCGGTGAGCAGACTTACTTTGACAACCAGGCAGCTAGGCCACAGAGCCGTGCCGCTTCAAACCCGAAGCGATGCCGCGGCAGACTGTCACAATGTGGCAGGCTTGTTGAACACTTTGCTCTGTATGCACCAGACGCAATTTCTAAGATGTTCGTAGCGATTGCTTCCTTCCTAGTTGTGTGACCTTCGTTTGGAAGGTTTCAAGAGCGACTTCAAGTGAGGTTTACCATCGAGGCATATGAACAGGAAATATCACGAGCATGATGCGTTGAACAGCAAGTTCTCGCAGTGTGAAGGTCCAAGGTCAAGAGAGCGCAATCTTGTCGCCTGCGAAGCTGCCGAGGCGAAGTTGCTAGCTTTCGGAGGCAGCGCTGAGCTCCAGGGGCAGCCGGAAGTCCTCGAGGTGCGAGAAGCACTTCCCTTCGAACTTGTCCAAGTCTGCGTCCAAGGCCTCCGAAGCGCTGGCTTCGGCAGGGCTCTGGGCAGAGGCTCCGGCCACGAGACTCCTTGCTACCCTCAGCTCCCCTCGCATGTTGTGGGGGCTTCAATCCTCAGCTCTTTAAGCCTTCTAGGGATGCGCTCTGATTGGAGTATCTGCAAAAGAAGCCTTGCGACAACGCAGGCAGAAGGTTCCGCGAGATTCTTGGTTTCCGAGATCCCTCGCCATGCTAACTTCAGCACAGGCACTGTAGGCAAAAGTGACCGCCAAGATCCGCTCTGCCTGAAAGTGCACGAACAAAATTGGCCGAATGCTCGCTGGAGGCTGCAAGACGCAACTGGTTGCCAAAGTCTCTCCAAAAGGCGGGGGAATGATGCACGGTTGACGCGATTGTGAAGATCCCTAAGGTAGCTCCCATCATAACTAAGACCACTGTCACCGCCGTCGTCGTTATTGTCACCGTCAGCATCGCCGCCACATGTTGATTGTGTTCGTCGTGGTTATCATGATCGTTGCGGTTGTCAGCTTCAGTGATCGTCGCAGTTGTGGTCGTCGTCGTCCTCCCCGTCGCTGCGGCGGTCGTAGTCACCGCCTTCGTCGTTGTTTGCCCCTTGCTCCTCTTCCTTTTCCCCCAGCATCCGAATGGTTGATTCCTGACCAGTGACAGGTCCTCGCAGCAAGGTGCCACTCTGGCTCGGGATGCAGCCCTGATGGGTTCTACCGCATGGCAGGCGCTTGTAACTTAATACAACACCTATATGCTTATATACCATCACTACCATCGCACATGCTATCACTGAATAATCATCATAACCATTCCTCAACTATCACAGCAATCACAACAAGCACCGGAATCATCGCCCTTGTCTCTCCGTACCCATCCTCAGTGTCATCCTCAGCGTCATCCTCATCTTCATCGTGTCGTCATCATCATCATATTCATCATCACCATCATCACCGTCATCATCACGGTTCTTCCATCACCATCACCATCACCATCACCATCACCATCACCATCACCATCACCATCACCATCACCATCACCATCACCATCACCATCACCATCACCATCACCATCACCATCACCACCATCCTAAGCAACATCATGATCACCATCATTTCCATTTTCATTTCCACCTGCTTCTTCTTCTTCTTCATCATCATCATCATCATCACCATCGTCGCCGTCATCCGCGGCTTTCGTTTTGTCGTTGCAATTATCGCTGTCGCCCTTGCCTCATCCTTCTGATGTTCCTGTTCTTGTTGGCAGAAGCATTCCGTCAGGGCAGCATTCATGTCGAAAAACCGAGCGAATCAAGCCGTAATTCCCATCGGTTTCCAGTGGCAGGAGTCTTCGGCGACAATAATGGGTCGCTTGAAGCGGTGCGCTTCTGGCCAATGGGGCGCAAGGCAAGTCGAGACATCAGCGGTGGCACAGAAGGGGTTTGCGGGTGCAACCCCCAATGAAGCCCCCAAGTCGTGGCTGAGCATCGCCATGGGGCCACTTTACCACTTTGATCTGCGGAGGTTAGCTTCGTTCCAGCCGACGGTTCCCCCACGACGATTCAGCGACGCCGACTCAGCTCCAGCTCCCGTGTTATTTCCGTGGTCGCAGCATGCAGGGGGACTTGCCATCGATCTTCCAAGATTCGCGATTTGCACTCTGCACTCATTTTCACCCGTAGATGCGTTGAACAGGGACATTCTTGCAGCTTTGTTTGGATTCCAAAGACCATCTTCAGGACTGTGCACAAGGCAGTTATCTGTGTCAGGCCTGTAGGAGGCTTTGCCCCATCCTTAACATGATTGAATTGAATCTGAATCAACCCTTCGCGGGACAACTGGGTCTTACGATGTTTTTCGATAGGATCCTCAGCCTTCAGCCTTCTGTCAGCTAGGAAACCCGTGGCAGCTGCAGCCACTCCGCTTCGAGCTTCAGGCACCTCTGCAGACTTGAGGGCCTTTCAAAGGGCTTCTGACAGCAAAAAAGCCTCGACCTGTATCGAGCTTGTTGTACGGACGCATGGCTTCATGTATGCATGCAGATGCATGAATCATAACTGCGGGTGAGTGTGATCGTGTGTGTCGTGCGCGTACCGCCCTCGTCCGTGGGCTTTCGGGGACACTCCCACTTTTGCATCCAACCCACAACTTTCGTTGCAGCCTAACAAAAATTTCACACGACTGCAGGGGCTGGGCAATCCTTGGCAAATCCAGTGCCACGAAGCTATGCTTTGGAACAGAAGCAGTTCAGGATGCTGGACTCTGCACGTGCAAAAACGACCCTTGTGCCAAGATTAGCTGGCCGCCCCTATCCGAAGGATCAGGTAAGACCAGTCCTAACCAGCATGCATTGTTGCGTCCGTTTTTTGCTGGCATAGATCAAAAAGCTGCACGGCAGGCGGGAAATGACAGTCAGCACATTAGTCTATCAACTTGCAAGTGTTAGTTGTATCCCCGACAGCAAAAGTTGTGGCGGCATTCAGCACGCAGCAGGACTGGGTAGGTTCTTCGGCGGGTTGTAAGTTCCGGAATAGAAGCTGCTATCCGGCGCCACTCGAAAATGGTAGCCAAGTCCGCCTGCGTGTTTTCAAGGTGGAGTATTTTTCTGCGGCTTGAGCGTTTCTGATATCCCATCCCGTCCCGACTCAGGCCCCCGCAATGCTGCAAACTATTGTGCAGCTCGTTTACTGGTTGGTGTCCTATCCTGTCTCCCGTCCGTCCGAAAATGCTTCAAATTTTCCAGAGCGCAAATGCAGTTTCCAGTAGGACGTGACCAGCTCATCCGTATTTGACTTGCAAAGCATTTTTGGCGTGACATCCTCCCCTACTGTACGGCCTCGACCGCCGCATCATCCCAGTCCGTACCGCCCAGTGTACCACCCAGCACCACAGATATATGCGCAAGGAAACCCGTGACCCATGTAGGCTGCCCCTTCTGGCCCATGCCACCCCTGCCCGGAGTTTCTTTTTGGCTCGGGCACTTATGCCAGCATCCAAAACTCATTTGACTAACCGTTTAACCCCTTCGCAACCACCGTTCCAAGCCTGAGACCAAGCTCCGATACCGCCGCAGAAAATCAGCTGTAGCATTCATGAAAAGCCTCAAAACCGGCTCGAAAGCCCATCCAAACCCCTCAGAACCAACCCAAAAGCACCGTAAAACACAGTCGCATGCCTGTAGACAACTCCAAGACTCATCTTAAACCTCCGACGCCGTTTGAAGCCAGCGAGAAACCCCATTGAATTGCAACTTCGTAGAGGCAGCTCTACATTTGTTCCCAGAACCTGAAACCCTGCGCACAAAATCCAAATCTATAGACACAGCTGCAAAACCAATAAGCTGCAAAACCAATAACTGCCAGCTCTGTTCAAGTCCTTTGAAGGCCATCGAACAATCGCATAAACGTATTCAAAGCTCATAGAACAAAAAGTTTTCAAACAGCTGCCAGCCCGTTCAAAGCTCTGAGGATGCTCGGCCGTTTCCGAAAATACTACGAGGCATTTGAAGACCGCGCGAAAGGGACTAGAACGTTTGAAAGAGGAGCAAAACCGCTCGAACCGGACTACGGAATCTGAGAACGACGAGCAAAGCCCCTCGAAAGGTATTAGGGAGTTTGAGAAAAAGGAATTCGCCCGAAAGACGAGTAAACGGCGCGAGAGGGACCAGAGAGTTTGAGAAAAAAACGAATCCGCCCGAAAGAGGAGTAAACCGCACGAGAGGGACTAGAGAATTTGAGATGGCAGCCACTCGCGCAAATGGGACTAGAGAGTTTGAGACAGATGAGCAAAACTGCGGGAAAGCCACTCGACTACAGAACTTGAGAAAGAGCAAGGATACACTAAGCGGGAGAGCCTTCATAAGTTGAGACAGATGGACAAACTGCATGCAAATAGTAGAGACGTGAGAAATAGGAGTATGGCCATTCGAGCCTGATTCGCGGTTTCCATACGAACAATGGTGTGGAAGGTGCTGGAGACTCTGAAAAGATAACTAAAACCGTTCGACAGGGATCAGAGAATTTGAGAAAGAGGAGTGCGCTGCTTTAAAGGGACTCGAGAATGTGAGAAAGAAAGAGTCAACCATGCGTAAGGGATTAGAGATGATGAGAGTCTTTGAGAAAGATGAACAAGCCGCGAGGAGAGTAGAGAAGGTCAGGAAGAGGGGTGCGCCGTTCGAAGACGTTTCGGAAATGTGGGAAACAGGAGCAACTCTGCGCATGAGTTAGGGAATCTGAGAAAGATCTGCAAAACCCCTTCAAAAGGGAATGGACATTTTGACAAAGGGGAGTGCACCGCCCGCACAAAAGGGAATAGAGCAGCACCGTTGGAAGGGAATAGCAATCTTGAGAAAGATGACTACACCACCTATTTAAATCCTCCCATCCTTGGCAGAAATAAGACAAGGAAAGAAGAGAGGGTGGCTTTGTTGTGCCGTGTGAGGCAATCGCACATGGAGTTTGAAAAGCATGTTCCCATTACTCTGTCCCTTCGACAGATCCGACTTTGCATGCTTAGAAAGAAAGATGCATTCGTCAGATCCGTTGCATCCCCTATCCCGGGCTGAGGAGGAAGCTGTGCCTCGTTTGGTGGGACGGATCTAGGGCACCCCGGGCTCGCGCATACGGAGGGCGGGTAAGGCTGGGGGGCGAAAGAAAGGCGGCCTGACAGCTTGTGGTTTTTCTTTACTGCTCATATTGCGACGCACTGCTTGCTGGTTCTGGCTTTGTGGGTTCCGGGCTTCTGGGCTTGCGGTTTAGGGCTTCTGGGTTCAGGGGTGAGGGTTAAGGGTTTCTGGGTTTAGTTAAAGGTTTCTGGGTTTAAGATTTCTGGGCTCCGGGCTTCTGCGTTTCGGGTTTCTGGGCTCGGGCTTTGGGGTTTAGGGGTTCTGGGTTTAAGCATTTAGGGTTAAGGGTTTCTGGGCTTCGGGGTTGTGGGTTTCTGGGTTCAGGGGTTCTAATTTTAAGGTTTCCGGGTTGAGGGGTTTAGGGTCAAGGGTTTCGGGGTTTAAGGTTTCAGGGTTGCGGGATTCTGGGCTTGGGGGCTTAGGAGTTCTGGGTTTAGAATTTAGGGCTTTAGGGTTAAGGCTTTCTCGATCTAGGATTTGCGGCCTTGGGGGTTTTGGGTTTGTGGGTTCAGGGCCTCCGGGTTCATGGGTTTGGGTTTAAGGGCTTAGGGTCAAGAGTTTCTGGGTCGCGGGCTATGGGCTTTGGGGCTTAGATGCCTGGAAAGCTCTCATGCGATGTGAGCCGCTTACCATTCTTTTGGACCAGCCTGGGATTGAGACTCTCGAAGGCATCACGGTCATTAAAGCTAGGCGGCGGTTCGCAGAGCGGCGGCACTTGGGGAGTTGAAGCTGCGACTTTGCCATAGGTGATAGTCAGCAGGCCCCTTACGTGCGACCAGCCAAGGCTACTAACGTGCGTAAGTTTACTCCGGCCCCTCGTCACACGGTCAGGCTTGTCGCGCCGGCCAAGTACCGTCGTGTCCACCTTGCTGACACTGAGGACTCCGCCGTGCAGGTCATGACTCACTCGGCTGAGGCTAGTGACGTCCCGGTCAGCACCTTTTCGGGAGGACAGTGGGCATGGAACAAAGTCAAGGAGGAATGGCTCCTCACGGGCCACTTACGCCTCAGTCCTGAGGCCGCGCCTAAATGTTTCTGGGGTCTCGAGCACCAAGGTGAAGATGCTCCAAGCTGCCACACCCGCATGTTTACTGGTGGCCTCGCCCAGCTAAGGACAACGATGGCAACTACTACCGTATGTCCCTGGCTAAGGCTCAGTCCCGAGGCCAACCTCCTTGCTTCAGGGCGGGAGGAGGGTCTGACTTGGGAGTGGTTCGGCCCGGACGGACGACCGCAACGAGTCCAAGCTTCTTGTTTTTGAGGCTCAGGGCTGTCCTAGCACTTGGGAAGCCAACCAGGTCGCTGACTTCTTTGCGGCTCCGGCTTGGTCTGAAGTGCAGGATCTTGCAAGGCGCAGGTGGGGCAAGCAAAGTTTTCTTCGGGTGGTCAAGGCAAGTCCGCCAACTGATGAGCCGCTCGCTCATGATCGCTCACAGGTGTGGCATTACAGAGACAATGAAGAGGCGAATCTTCATGTTTACGTGACAAGGACGGCAGCTAGGCAACCGGCTGCCCAGGTCTGCGTGCGGACGCGCCGCCGTGCGGAACCTGAGGTCAAGTCGCCTGCAGACGTGGTAATGGCTCCCCACTTTGTTCCTGACGACGACGACGACGACGACGAGGAACTCATGACTCCTCGTAGGTCCTATAGTAGTGACAGTCAGCTTCCTCAACAACAAGCCGGCAGTCGTAGCCTGCGAGTTTACTCACGCGCTTCAGGACGGCTGGACTCGCGTCAACCAAGGTGGCAACGGAGGCGCTGCTGCTATGCGCCACAATGTCAAGCAGCAAATGCTGGGCAGGAGGGCTCCCACACAGAAGGGGGCCGCAATTCCTCGACCGTTTTGGGCGGCGCCAGGACGACTATACCCCAGCTTTCGCTCAGGACCGGCCTCTTGCACCAGAAACACCCTTCACCTGACACTGACAAGGATTTCAGGGCATGGCTGGCTACTCTGGCCGATCCGCGTTCTTGAGCAGACGGCCTCGTCTTGCAGGCCATGTCCCGACGACACGACATTCCACTGGTGGGCTGGCATCACCGCCAGCAGGTCTGGCTTGGGGTTGCATTACGGCTCAGTTGTCGGCTGGGTTCGCTAAGCTTGTCCGTAAAGCTCGACCAATAGTGCTTGTGCTGCCGAATGAGCACTACGAGTGGCTGTCGCCCCGCTCTTCTCAGGAGGTTGCGAAAGCTTGTTTGTTGAAGGCCTATACTTCCGAAACCTTCCGTGCTGAGGGGAGGCGGGCGGCCGCACAGTCAGGGACCCAAGCTCCACCTACTCCCTCCCTTCACAGTCTTGACAGCTTGGGCCTGCCACTCCTTCTCTTCACTCCGCGCTGTCTCTCCGCCTGCGCGGGCTCCTGCAGGGCCTGCGGGTCACGTAGCCTGGCGTGCAGGGCGGCTGGCAGGACCTTTTAGGGCATCCTCCTGGTCGCAACAAGAGACACAAAATGTTTCACCTGGGGTCTTGCCAGCATGAGTTTGTAAAGAATCCGATTCTGATTGCGAAACTTTGATTAAAATTGCGAGACTCTTGATGATAGCCTAGCAGAGCGAGAGAGAGAGAGAGAGAGAGAGACAGAGCGTGGGGAGCCTGACAAGATCCCTGGACCCCAAGAAGAGGAAGAAGAAGAAGAAAGAAGAAGAAGAAGAAGAAGAGGAAGAAGAAGAAGAAGCAGAAGAAGAAGAAGAAGAAGAAGAAGAAGAAGAAGAGAGAGAGAGAGAGAGAGAGCGAGAGAGAGAGAGAGAGCGAGAGAGAGAGGAGAGTAGCCATTTTGGCTCAAGCCGCTCAACAGCAAACTCGCGCTCCTTTCTCGTGCTTTCTCGCTCTCGCCTCCATGTTCGTGTCCAGCGACTTCCCAGACCTGCCGGTCGCAGAGAAGCCCCGCCGCGCAGTGGTCGCAGAGAAGCCCAAGCGACGCGTAGTGGCCACGGCCGGACGGGCCGGAGCTACAAGGGAGGCCCCAGGATCCCGACGCGGAGGTGACAACTGGGGGCTGTTTAACCCCGCGGGGTTGCGCCGAGCCGTTTTCGGGGTCATGGCCGGACTGCCCGCATGGCCTTGGCTCGCGCCGCGGCTAGAGCTTCTCCCAAAGGGGAACCGAAGTGTAGTGACCACATGTCGTGACCTGCATTCAGGCAAACCGGGGGAGGAGCTTTTACCATAGTATGTTAGTGTTTGTCCTTGTTCGCACTGCTGCCCCGGCCGGCTGCTTTGCACCACGAGCTTTCTCACAACATGGCAAGGGGGGACGAAGTCGCTGTAGCTACTATTGACTCGTTTATGTTTTAGTGCTGTGAGTTGTGCATGCCTGCTGTAGTCAGCCCCCCAGCCAGAGCCCTAGTTTGGCAGCCTTCGACTTCTCCGAAAGGTTTCAAATCTCAGGGCACAGGGCGACCAACGTCGTACGTAGACCTCTTCGCGTGTGTTGATTGTTGTTGCTCCTTTGCGAACTGGTCCTTTGTGCTCCTAGGCGAAACCGAGGTGTAACGACCAGTTGTAGTGACCCGTACATGTGCAAACCGGGATAGCTTTATAGTTCACCTGGCCTTTAGGGTGTATTTCTGCTGTGTTTCCTTTCATGTCGTCATGCAGGCCTCCGGGGGACACATGCCTTGATTCAATGGTGTCCCAAAGTCACACTTGACACAGCGGAAAGCCCCCTTAGACCGATGCTCTACACTTTTCTTGACATACTTTGTGCTTACTGCAGGACTTTGGGTACCTGGTACGTGGTACGTAAAGGGGACAATCCGGCGCACTTTTCACACCCGGCCAGGGAAGAAGAAGAGAGAGACAGAGAGAGAGAGAGAGAGAGAGAGAGAGAGAGCGAGATAGAGAGTTTGACAGTGTCCGTGCCGGGGGAAGTCGAATTTTCTTCAGAAGTACAGCCGAGCCCTCCGGGGAAAAACCCCGAAGGGACCACGAAAGACACCCACGAACTGCGGGCGCGCGCTCGTGCGTGGAGATTGGGGCGGGACGCTCCCCGGGCTCCCCACCGGGTAGAAAGTGAGAGAGCGAGAGAGAGAGTCTAGCAAAGCAGAGAGAGCGAGTCACAGCATGTCACTCTATTGGTGGTTGACATCATACGGACCACGGTGGGGGGCTGGTAATAAGGCATTGATGATTTCTTTCAAGAAATCAAGCCAACAATGCTTTAACTGGCCGGGGAAATGGATGAATGTTTTATCTGTAGTGGTGAAAAGTGATGAACTTCGGACGGCCAAAAAACAACACAGATTTCAGAAGGAGGAGGAATTCGTTCCAAGGGGACCAGGGAAGTACATAAAGATAACAAACCGTTCAAAAGGGATCAGTCAATGTGTGAATAAGTGGCAGGCCTGTCGCAAAGATAAAGGAGCAAACGGTTCGAGCTCGACACGGTTCGCGAATTTGCGACAGAGGGCCAAGTTCTGCACAAACGGCTCGAGAAGTTGAAGCAGCACCAACAAAGGGCTCGAAAGAGGTTTCCAAGCAATGCAGCGGAGGAGCATACCACTGAAAAGGAAGTGGGGAGCTTGAGGGAGCGAGCTGCCCGAAAGGATACAGAGATTTTCAGAAAGAGGAGCAATCCGCCGGAACCGCACCCCTCCCCGTGGAGCGGCTGGAAGGCTTAGGCCTTAAGGCTGTAGGGTTTCGGCTGCAGGGGTCGTGATCGTTAACCGGTGATGCGCAGGCACATGAATAGTTTCGCGAAGAGGCTGTCTTTTATCTACAAGTCAGATTCGTTATCAGACTGAATGTGCGCATCTGTTCGCTTACCGGTGCCTGCTGATCAATTGTCTGCATGCATTTTGGTGAACAGTGGTGCACATAGATACCTAGTGAGCAAAAACTAACATGTACATATATGTGTGAGCACCTTTCTCTCTCTCTCTGTTTATCTCTCTCTCTCTCTCTGTTTCTCTGTTTCTCTGTTTCTCTCTCTTTCTATATATATATATATATGTATACACACACACACGCACAATTGTTCTTATTTCCCAAGCTACATGTCGCGGAACTTTCAAAGTTTTATTCTCTTCGCAAACAAAGTAGAGATCGAACTGCAGTCACAATTAGCCAGTCAACACGAGCCATCAACGCACGATGATCATCGAACTGAGGTTCTGCCAACATTTGACTTTCAGCAGCGGCAGCCATTGCTACCTGCACAGCCACTTGTCTGGCGACACATTGCATGGTTCGGCCAGAACGCCATGCCATTCGTTGGCACATGTGACTTTCCTTTAAAGAAACACCCGAGGCTCTCACTGTTCGGCACATCGTACAACAGCTCACAGCTGGCGGTCACCGGAGGCAGGAGTTTTCACCTGCGTTGTGCAGAAGGGTGGCTTCCGCTCCCCATAAGTACCCCACACGTACAACCGAACAAATGGCTCCTGATGTTTGTGATGTTCGGGGGGTGGGCATGGGCCTAGCAAAGGCCAGGATCCCTTCATGCCTGAAGTCTCAAATGATGGCTTAGCTTTGGGGATGCCATCCTGACATATTCGCGCTGCTATTGTTAACATGTATTGGTTCTGGACTGTGAATGAGAGTTAGTGTCTTTCAGGAGTGTCGCATTTGCAGTTTTCCGTAGATGTGCTGGATTCTGGAAGAGTGTGAAGTGAGGGCCCGCATGCTCTTGCAAGTGCCACCATACATGCAGCCCTGCACCAACTTGCCCTTCATTCCCGCTTGTTGACATGTCACATGGCAAGAGGCAACTTCAGCTTTCGCTTCGAAGCACTGGTGGATCTCACCGACCGTCTGATCAAGGACTGCGCACGTTGCACCTGCAGTTTCTTTGGGGATGCTTTTTTTTGTTAAAATTGGCTCTCTGTGGTTCACTGGGTCGAAGCGGCAGGCAACCTGGGCTTTGCCGTCCGGACTTTTGGACTTTACGCAGGCCGGCATTAAGGGCACGTTGGCCTGTCTCTGTATGCTATAACTTGGATGCTGCAATACCATGTCAGATGCGCGCTTTGAGTTGTGCAAGGCCGCATCGGGCTATTCCGGTGTCCTGATGCTCGGCAAGTTCTGTTTTAAGTTTCCCGCTTCATCATGGGACGATAGGCCCGCTAGGACGGGCAATGACGGATGGAAACCGTGGACCATGCAAGAATCAAGTCATCTCCGCCAAGAACATCGCAGGGTTCGAAGTCTGTTGATTTCGGGTTGGGTCCTGCTGCCTCGTTTAACCTGAAGTCATGCAAGGCAGAGCCCAGGTGCATCCTTCAGAGTTCAGGGCCGCTTTGCGTGGCCCACGAAGGATGAACGTCACGGGGAATGGCCTGGGTGGGCTCCTGCTGCTGGAACTCTCGGCCGGTGAAGGGAGGCAGGGCAGAGCTGCGGTCACCACCACGGGAGGTTAGGCATCTTGAAAAACAGAGAGCCCAACTTCACCCATCAAAGGGTTTAGGCCATCACCGGTGGAACATATGCAGGACGCCACTGCGATTTGCGGTCGAGCTGCTCGACAATTCGAGGATGAAAGCAGCTCATGGTACTCAGTTACTGCAAGCAGAGCGGGACAGAATCAGCAAGTGTTCGGAAACCACTCGCAGCTAGTACCCTGGACCAAGGAATAATTTCATCGGGAGGCGGGCGGGCTGGACGAATCTAATCGGGATCGGGACTTCTGTATTCCGCGCTTTGATGGATGTTCGGCTTTACCATCTGCAGAGATATTGGTATGAAGGACGGCCGCACGATCTTAACACCCGCCAACATCCCACAGGGCGAGAAAGTCCAGAACAAAGTGCTCCATCTGAGATCCCGAGATACGGTGCCCTGGAAGCCCCAATGCGGCTCCGCAGATCGCAGTCTTGGACCTCCCTGTCAGGCGCGAAGTTTTGCTGACGTCTCACGAGGAGGCAGAGGTGCCAAGACTTGTGTGAAATTGGTCCGCTGTTCAGGCCTCGTGACAGGCGGATGGAATGAGAGAGAGAGAGAGAGAGAGACATAGATGCCCAATGAAAGAACGAAAGAGAAAGACGGACGGAAGCAGCTAGGGCAGCTAGGGAGAGGGACGAAATACAGAGACGCAGTCTCACCAAATCGTTCGCCAAGGTCGCAGAAGCATGAACCGGGATAGTCGGGCCGACCGAACAAACTTGAGCGGGATCCACCTCCTCTTCAAGAGGTTAAGGAGGCCAAGCAGGTGCTGACTGAGGGCGCCATGTGCTTCCGTCCCTAAGTGTGACCTCTCCTGAGCATTTCGAAGGGTCGCAAGCCGGCCAGGTTCAAGCTCGTCATCCATGGCCCGTTGCTGTCTTGTTCCCAAACGGCGCGGCCGTATGCCTGCCTCACGAGAATTTCCAAGGGTTTACCTGCGCCTGACGTCCCGTGTGACTTCGGCTCTTCTATCGGGGCGGCATTCCCCTCAAGAACACAGCCAGAAAGAACAGAAAGGACAGATGAAAGCACCGAAAAGCTACCGGATTGTAGAGTCGAGTCGTGCGGAGAGCAGAGGCAGACAGACTTGCCAGCTGTCTAGTTATCCTCCCTTCTTGTAGGTGGTTCGATCAGGTCTGGTCAGCAGGCATAGACGGCTTTGACTGCTCGCGGTGCAGGAAGAGTTTGCTGCAGAATTGCAGCTCCTGGGACGGCAGTCGCTCTTGCAGGTGAGCCTCTGACAGAATGTCGGTCTTGCGGGTTGTGTCTCCAACTTCTTTCGCATTTCGCTGTCTTTGCAGGGCTGGAAGCGGGAAGTCAGGAGATCTGGGATTATTCCTCTAGTGCAGAAACTTGACCCACGTACAATCTCGCGGGGCGTGCAGTGGCCTGCACTCGTACTGGGTAGTTGATGGCTCCTGCACACTGCGCGTCGACGGAGTTGTTTCACTTCCCTGGATGACACATTTTGTGGATTTGGTCCGTGTCGTGCCAGGATGGTGACCTTTGGATCAGCCGCGTGTCTGTGGGGCTCCTTGGTGCCGCTGCTCAGGCGCTGACGGAATCTCAACTCAGTGACGCTAGCAGATCGGTCAGAGAGCGGCGCCTGTCAGGCGGCATCTGGTTTCAGAGAGAAGCTGCAATCATCAGTGCCAGGCAGCAGTACTAGTCGAGAACGCCGTGGCTGTGCGGAATGTTCAGACCCTCAGTACGTCGCAGTTGGTTCGACTCCTTGCAGGTTTGGCTCGACATACCAGAAGTGTGCTTAAGCAGTGATTCATACTCACCCCTGGTTTGCACATTATTGCCGGATTGTTCTAAATCCGCAAGAAATACATGCTTCAGATTCAATTGCCGTCGCCAGGTCTTGTCTCCTTTGGCAAGCCCTACCCTGTTCGTCAAGGATAAGACCACGGGCGAGGCTGCAAGTGCTGTTGCACATGCGCAGGAGCTGAGCTTGACTGCTTGAGTCACGGAGTAAGCTCGCCGGGAACACACAAAACTGCTTCTGGGTTTCATGGTTCCCTGCTGTTGTTTCGATGTTCCTCGGATATTGTCGGACCTCATGTTGTCTTTCGTACTCGCTTTCGGTCAGTCTTGACCATGTCGGACGAACCGAGTCTTTGCGCAGTCACAGCTGTCTACATCATGGAACAGATCTCAAATCATAGCATATCCCATCGCAGCCAGGTCCTCTCGAGCATGACAGTCAGCGGTTGCATACCGACTCGAATCTCGGACGGCATTCAACAGCAGTTGAATTCACGCAGGTTCTGGGTCCAAGGCGTCACTGAGCAGGAGTCTTGTATGCGGCAATGTGTTCTCTTCTCACATTTCACTGCAAGATCTTCTGACGGCAAGCATCTGGTTGGTGTATTACCCATTGATTCCCGGAGCCAGGACAGTACCTGGTGTTCGAAGGCGGTGGCACAGCACAGCTGTTGGATGAGCAGCGCGTGTCTCTCAGAGATGAACAAGCGCTGGCATGCTGCAGCCGGCATGGACCTCGTAGCGTGAGACACTCACAACAAGTCAGTTTCTTCGGGTCGTAAACGGGAAGCCACATCGTTCGGGTGCTTGGCAGCGCAGCTGGAGCGCCCCTGGACCGAATAATGTGGGCCCAGGCCAGCCTCAGGCTGCGCTGAACGTCTCCGGGGCCCTGATGCAAGCGCCGGGAGATTTCGTTGTGGGGGTGGAGGCGGGTGAACTTGGGATGGAGGGGTCCACCTTGCATTGACGTTGCCGGACCTTGCAGGCAGACTCCCAGGCAACCTGCGGGGCGGGTGGCGCTCCGCCTTGGCTGCGGGCAGTGTGGCGTAGCCTGGGCGAGGAGGCGCTGCAGATGAGAATGCAGCAGTTGCTGGCATGGCCGAAGTTGTCATTCTTGTGCCGCTGCCATCGCCATCGCCACCACCACCGCCATGCCATCGGTCTTGTCCTGAAGTGTGTCTTCAAGATACATCCCGAGAATTGCTGCATGCCTGGTGACCCGTTGCGACAGGCCATCTTTGGCGCAGGGACGACGGACCGGGCTTCGTTGTAGAGCTAGTGAGCAGAGGTGCGAAAGGCTGGCAAGTCAGAGTCAGCACCAGTGACAGCTGTCGTTGCATGCTGCAGCTGTGATGGCTCCGCTGTCCCAGCTCACTCCCCACCCGAAACTAACGCCAGCACGCCTTCCTTCTATACGTACCAGTCCTGGAGATTCGACGAAGCAATTCCAACATGTCAGGCATGTCCTGGTCCATCGAACAGCTTGAGGTCCTGTTGGCCTGTGGGTCCAACTGCTTTTCCTCAGTGGGCATGCTCCTCTTCAACAAGCTAGCAGTCCAGGCCTTCCCGCTCGAATGCTGTCTGGTGTGGTTTCAGCTCTTCTTCGCTGCAGCCTTCATGCTGATCTTCGCGTTCCCATACCTCCATGTTGGCTCTCTCAAAGACTTCATGCGATGGTGCATCGTCGTGCCCTTCTACTGCGGCATGCTATTGACATCCATCTTAGCATTGAAGAATGCCCCGATGTCACTGCTCATAGTCTTGCGGAATGCTTCGCCGCTAGCTTCCCTAGCAATCGAGCGCCTCTACCCGGAACCGCTGCGCATCAGTCCATGGATGCTTGGGTCCATCTTCATGATGCTTGCAGGGGCGGTTGTGTACGTCTCGGAGCTCCCAACAAAGCATTACCAGGGCATCGGATGGATCTTGTTGAACAGCTTCATTGCCGTGATGGATCGATGCCTGCAGCGCCTCCTCCTTAGCAAGGATCAGCAGCCCGTGGATATCTCGAAGGCCGGCATCACCTTGATCAACAACTTGATGGGCTTGGTTCCTGTCGGCATCGCGGCCTGGGCCAAGGGAGAACTTCGGGAGCTTCCGGGCACCTATGCCGGTCTCACTGGCATAGAAAAGGTCTATATCGGCCTCAGCTGTGTGATCGGTCTTTCCATCTGCTACACGGGCATCTGGGCACAGAGCCTCATCAGCGCAACCAGCTTCCTCGTCATGGTCAATGCAAACAAGTTCGTGATTATTTGCATCGAAGCCTTCGGCATGCACACCAAGGCCCGTGGAAGAAGTCAGCTGCGTGCCCCTCGTGAAGTCAGTCCTAGAAGCCGCTGCTACCTACCGAAAGTAAACCGAGATTCAACCACTTACCCTTACATCTAAGCCAGCTGAACATCAGGTGGGCCAATTGGGCTCAACCTCCGCAGAAACAGCGAACTGAAGTCACCCAAGAAGCAAACACATGTTTGATCAAGTTCACATGTTTGGAGAGGTTCTGACGCTGAATCAGTTCGTCGGCGCCTGTGTGTCAATCTTAGGTGGGCGGGGAATGGCCTTCCACCGCGCGTTAAGTTGGGTCCAACAGACTGCATGATGCTGTAGTTGCCAGTAGAACGTCTGTCTTGCTCTCTTCCCTGGGAGGCGGGATTTCATATGGAAGGGCTCGCTCGTATATTGAGCAAGAAGCCGAAGAGAGGAAGCAGTTGGTGCCAGCGAAAGTGTGAGCTCCGCCAAGCTGCGGCCAAAGCACCTTTCCTGCACAGCATCGGCAGAGACGGAAAGCTTTAGAAGCCTCCTTTTGAAACATCGACTGCCTGGGAGACTGAGGTGCAAAGCTAGCAAGCTCTGCCGTCCGGTCGGGTGACGGCGTAGTCTCAAGGGCCAAGTGACGATGTTGTGACTTTGTGCCTCATGTCAAAAGGCTGTGTGCTGTTTGTGTCACTGTCCGGCTGCGAGCTTCGACCAGCCCGGAAGCCACGATCTGAGCATGTCCTCGAAAGGTAAGCCTGCCTTGAACTTCTCATACAGACATCCTCACAATTCGAACGTAGAACTTTCTTGGCCCCTGCGGAACAAAGGCAGGCTTTCCGTCAGAAGGTATCTTCATTCCGCACACTCGCCGCACTCGCTGCTGTAGCCTCTTTCAGTCAGGTTCCTACGTTCTAGCCGGTTCACGCAATGAAGGCGTTGTCGTCAGCGGTCCCGCCGGGCCGCCATGTGCAGCTGGAAACCTTCCTCGCTTGTGCCTGCAACTGCCTCTCATCAGTAGGCATGCTTCTCTTCAACAAGCTGGCCATTGAAGCCTTCCCTTTGGAATGCTCTCTCGTGTGGCTACAACTTGCCTTTGCCACCGTCGCGTTACTAAGTCTTGCATGGCCTTCGATTCACATCGGCAGCTTCCGGGATTTGTGCAGATGGTGCATGGTGGTTCCATTCTACTGTGGAATGCTGATGACGTCCATCTTGGCACTCAAGAGCGCTCCCATGAGCGTCATCATCGTCGTGCGGAATGCATCACCCTTGATCTCCTTGGCCATCGAGCGGTTTTATCCCGAGCCCCTGAGGATCAGTGCGCCCATGCTCTTCAGCATCCTCATCATGCTCAGCGGTGCAGGTATGTATGTGTCCCAGCTCCCTCAACAGCACTTTCGAGGTGTTGGATGGGTTCTTCTCAACAGTGTCGTGGCTGTGGGAGACCGGTTGCTGCAGCGCCTCCTCTTGTCCAAGCATCAGCAGCCGGTAGACATCTCAAAGACCGGCGTCATCCTCATCAACAACCTCTGTGGTCTTGTGCCGGTTGGTTTGCTCGTTTGGATACACCAGGAAGCCGCTCAGGTGCCGCGAGCCTACGCATCCCTGAGCTCCTGGGGCCTGCTCTACGTCTTCTTGTCATGTGCCATCGGGCTGTCTCTTAGCTACACCGGGGTCTGGGCACAGAGCCTCATCAGCGCAACCAGCTTCCTCGTCATGGTCAATGCGAACAAGTTCCTGATCATCGTCATTGAAGCCTTTGGCCTTCATGCTATGGCTCTGAGTCCCCTGCAGGTGGCCGGGGCCAGCCTCACTATCCTCGGTGGGGTGATGTATAGCATGGAGCGTCAGGCCTTGGAGCAAGAGGCTGAGAACGGGCCTCTGTTGCCCTCAAGAAAGCTTTGAGATCAGGTGGGATTTGGGACCAGCTCGAGGACAAAAGACATAAACAGGGGCAGTCTCTGCAGTGTCTTTGCACAGAAAACTGTCCCAAGTGCTCAGGGAGAGTCGCAACACATTTGGCAGTTGCTGTTCTGTGAGGACCCGACAGAAGCAACAGAGCACGGGACCTCAGCATGCCAGCGCTCCATGCATTGGCACAAGGGGTCGTATGAGAAAGATTGAAGGCAGCGGTTCAGGGGCTGCTCAGCCCATGCAAATCCCAAGCCAGCTGATCTGTCAACTCTCGCGAACTTAGGACCTCGACATCGAACCATTTTGAGTTCACTTCGAAGGGAGCCGACATGCCCGAGTCCTTGCTCGTGGGGGTGCAGTTCAAGGTGCCAGCTGTTTGCCGTGGCCGGTGAGAGCCAGTGAGAGCACTGGCAGCGGCCTACCTGCTCTGCCGTGCACGCAGTTCGCTCTGCTCGTGCAGGTGGAGGGTCTGGACTTCATCCAGCTTGTTGCAGACAGTGCCTTCCTTGAGCAGTTCAAGCAAGTCGTCAAAGGCCCTGTGCAGTGTTTCTCATACAGCGCCTTGTCACGCAGTCTTCCCATCAGCAGACGCCGGTGCCGCGCTTGGTCCGTGCGTGCCACTCGCAGGCGCTCTGATTGCAGCTACTGCGCGGGCGGACCGACGAGCGGAGGCTTCTGCCTGGGCACGGGGCAAATGCCGTCTGTCAGAAACTGCAGGCCAGGCTGAGGCCTTAGTGATGCCGTCCTGGTAGCAGGACTTGGTTCTTCAGCTCTCTCCTGGTTCGGTGGTGGCCGGTGCCCGAACTGTTCTCCACCGCTGCTTAGCAGTCGGGAAGATGCGAAGCCGAGGTTCAAGCACGAATGGCTGCAGTCGCCAGGGCAGGGGCTGAAACCTCAGACCGGACACGATGTGATGGTGATGGGATTTTGTTGGCATGCCCATCGACCCTTAATCAAGCGGGTCTCTTACATGTGCTGGCAAAGCCGGAAGTCTCACAGCAAAGTATCTGATTCAGCCGGGAGCTGCACCCATTCGACACCGATGGAGAATGTCTACCCCATGGCCCCCCTCCAGACACACGCAGCCCTCGTATATTGGTATCTGCACACCTTCGTGATTAAGTGATGCCCATAGCTCTCTGCGTTATCTCTCCGAATCTTGTGAGTTTGTGCGGCGTGTTTAGCTGCTGCACATGCATGTTTGGATGTGTGCTGTCATCATGTCCCCCAGCCGACCCCGAGGAAAGCGTCGCGGCCGCAATGACCATCCTTGCAGATGGAATGCGGCACGAGGTGCTGTGGCTGCGTACGGCTTGAATGCAACAAAGCGTCGAAGAGTGCATCAGCAAGAAAGCAAATTTCCCTGTTATCATGATACCGTGTGGCTGCTGATCAAGCCTGCAAAGGCAAGCGCACTCCAGCGAGACTTGATTGTCCGGCTCGCCGGCATACAAGGCGCAGCTTTCCGGATCGTCTTTCAGTTCCGCCAAGGCTTCACGTGGACATGTGGAATCCTCAGCACTAGATATTCTTTGTGAGGTCTTTCGTCAGTGGCCTACAGCGCCATCTCAGTGGGACCAATCAGCGCAACCCTGCCATATTACTGTAGCTTTTGTTATTTTCTTTGAAGCTCGGCGGAGGGGCATACACTTGTGACAAGCTTGAGGTCAGTCTTCTTGCCGTGGAGGTGTCGGCGGCATTCTGCCTGAGTTGCTGTTGCTATATCCACAAGCACCTTCCATGCTGAAAAGCTTACATCGTTCGTGCATCTGTCATGCGTCATACGGGACTCTTTCCAGGCAACGCCACAGCCTGCTCCCACGGTGCAGGACGCCACAGGGCCATGCCATACCTTTACGACGCTTTGGCGGAAGGGCTCGAAAGGAATACGCCATGTGCAGGTCATGTTCACTTGGCTCAGGTTGTGGGAATGCAGAGCAGTGGGGAGCATGTCTAATGTCTAACCTTTGCGCCCTCGGGACGAACCCCACTCTGACCATCTACCTTCTCCTTCACCCAAGGCGTAGGCCGTCACAATGCCAGGACTTCATCCCCATTTGGGCCATTATCGCCCTGAGCATCCTGACCTGCTTCACGATGATCGTTGGCTTGATCGCTGTCTACATGCAAAGGAGATGGGCGGAGGCAGCTCTCAGCCGAAATTGGGCAAGAAAGAGCAATTCTCGCTGGTCTCTTGTAGGAACGGCGCCGCCGCTCGCTCGGCGGTTCCGAAGGCCGGGGTGATCCAAGCAGCCAAACGGGGAAAGATTCTGAAAGGGCTCTGGGTGTCCGAACACCGAAAGGCTCTGACCCCGTGTACATGACCCGTCGCGTTCGAAGCCGTGTTCCAGGCCGATTTGCATGAGAGAAACGACTGCAGCGTTCGCGTTCAGGGGAGGGAAGGCGACCTGTAGCTCCTGCTTGTTATTACTTGTTGAGGCTCCACCAGCCCGCAGACCGCATCAGAGAGCCCGGAGGACCGCAGACGCGATCTGTTTATGTTTACATGGACAAGACAGTTTCCGGAAGCAACGTCCTGGAGGTTCCGAAGAAGAGGAGTACTTCCAGGCTCTTGATGAGCAAGAGGGCAGCTGGGGCAGCTAGGCTGAAAGGCCTCTGCAAAGCTTGCGAGGAAGGGGATGCCTTAAGCGGCACCACCATGCGAAGATGCACATCGAGTTTTCAGGCTTCCTCGCTGGAATCCACATCTAGTAAGCATAAAGTTGGTTCACAGACCCAGCGCTCAGCGGCTTTGCATACCAACCGTTCTGAGCTGTGAAACTTTGCGGTGTCCTCGGAAGTGTCGGTTTCGGGACCCGGGCTCTTTCTCGCTGAAGATGTGTTGTCACTGCCTGATACACGGTGCAGTGCAGGCTGTCGCTTTACGTACAAGCAAACACAAGAACCAGCACGCCTACACCAGACCCATGTAATGCAGTAGTTTTCATATCCAAGCATCTCCCACGGTCCTAGGCTATGCGGAGGGTTCGGTTTTCCGATGCGGAGATGCCAGAGGCAGATTGGGCCACAATTGTCCTTGTCATGCTGGTGACACTAGCTCATGATCTAGATTCGGTGCAGGAGATCGGCTGTTCTAGATGCGTGCAAAACTTCAACATGACAGACTGGCAGCCAGGTGCAGGAGTATGACCCACGAGAGCTTCAGTTGGCTGCCGCAGAGAGCAGCCAACGCAACCAGAAACTCGAGGCTTCGATGCTTCGACATCTGTCGACTTGCTTGGTGTCTGTGCATACATGTATATATATATATATATATATATGTATGTATATAGATCCAAATAGAAATAAATAGAACATATATATATATATAGGTATACGTACACATATACATGACACACATATATATATATACATAGATATGTATGTATGTATGTATGTATGTATGTATGTATGTATGTATGTATACTCATACTTATTCTGTATATGGGTGTCGCACTGTTCGATCTGTCAGGCCAAAGTTGCCGAGCTGGAAGCAGCTTTGAAGAACGTGCAGGGCACGCTTTGCGTCGCAGAGGCAGGCTAAGGGCATTTAAAGCTCAAGATTCGAAGCACCCAGGCTCCCTTTGGTCTAGGGGTCCGAATATCTGGCGACGTTTCCAGCGGGTGTTCACCTTTTGTTCATGACCCTTTCAGTCCTCCTGATTGGGCGCGGAAGTCAAAGAGGCACAGCAGTACTTGCACTCTTTTCGCTCTTGACCAGCGCGACCGATTTCATTAGAACTCCTTCTCGCCCTCAGTCATTTTCTCCAACTCGTAGCAGTCTTCTCACTGACTGAGACCGAAACACTGAGTAGAGCGATTTCATCCTCGTGAGCCCCCTGGCAAGGACCGCTTGGCAGAGGTTTCCAAGGAGCGCGATCAGCTTTCGCTCTCGGTAAACGGTTACCCGGCCGTCTCTATGAATCTGGAGTGCATGGCTGATAAGTGTTCAGCACACCCTGAACCCAACCATGCTCCAGAAATAGAGGAAAGGGAAGGCTATCCTTTTTCTTGTGTGATTTTGTTCCCTTTACGCTCAGGCCGTCTCGGCGCCCATTTCCACGCTCTTTGCTCTCGTGCCAAGGTGCGCAGAGCTCCACGCTGCTGCAGCAAAGCCACCTCGCAAGGCCGGCAGTGCTCTGCAAACTGCTTTCTCTTCGAGTCGGGTGGGCGAAGGAGCTCTTCGGGGACGCGAAGATCGCTAGGAATCCTCGGCGATTGCGAGGACAGCTGAGGGCTGAGGGCCGCTGTGAGATCCGGTGATGTGGTGCACAGGAGAGCATGGGCGAGACGGACGCGGAAAGAGGGGAAGTTGTGCATAAGCTGGAAGACCTGGAAGCTGGAAGTTTGGATGGCTTCGTCCGACATCAAGAGGTACTGGACGCAGAGTCTGTGAGATCGGTGGGACTCCCAGCATCTTTGAAACTGAAACGGAGAGTCTGTAGAAGATCCACGAAGCGTCACAGGATGCTCGCTCCGAGTTTAGTCTCTGGGCTACAGAGACTGAGAGCCATCCAGGCGGCACTTCAGAGCGGCCGACTTACCTCCACCCTGTCCCGGCATCGATGATGCAGAGACCAGATTTCACGACCACTTCTGTTCAGCCCAGGTGGGTCGCTTTGGACCAGCCAGATGACGACCTGCAGATCACACGCGTTTAGCTTCCGGGTGTGAGTTCGGGAAGCCGGAAGGCCAGAAAAGGCCTCGGGAAAAGGAGGCACTGCGAGTGCTTGGGTACTGAGACGTTTTGACGGTTTGAAGCCTTTTCACGAAGGCAGTTGCATTTTCCATGCAATCCGAATGCGAGAGAGGCCCTCGTGCATCCTCGGGCCGGTCTCCAGCACAAATCCGAAGCCAAGAAGCAAAAGAAGCACTAAAATTTCTGGAGCCCGTGATACTTGTAGCCCAGCAACCCGCACAAGGTCGGGATCTTTAAAGTCTTTGGCCCAGGAGTGGCTGAAGTAGACACTGCATGGCAGGGAGCTCTCTTCAGTTCCTGTAAAGGCTGGCTGGCCAACAGTATTGGCAGATGCCCTGCATTTCACTTGGCTCACTTCGCGTGAGTACCACCAGGAGTGATTCGCGGGCATTCTTGCGGCAAGTGGGGGCCACCGGCTCTGCGTAGACCTTTGCCAGGCAAGCTCTGGAGTGCGGCACTCCAAAGAGAATGCCTACGTGACATTGAACCTGCGAAGCAGGACTGCTGTACTTCCTAAGGAAGTTGCCCCGAAGCGAGATTTCGAAGTGAGACAGTAAGACAAGCCTTGTTTTTTGCACGTGTGGAGTGCGTGCACCAAGCACAAAACGCGTGCAGCCGCGGCAGGTGCCCGGAACAGCCAGTTCTGTTTTCCGCAGCTACGAAGAGCGGTTGGACGACACCCGGCTGGTGCAAACCCCTGATGAGGACGAGGCCCCGCAGTTCAGCCCCTCGTTTGAGGACCGGATGCGCCTGAGCCCTGCCCTCAGGAGCTGATCATCAAGGTGCCGTTTGTCTCTCCTGCCAAGGCCCCCAAAAGTCTTCACACTTTTAAGTCGTCCTTCAAGCGAGAGGGTGATATGCCCAAACAGGGACTGGCATTAGCATGTGCTATCATGTGCTCCACGACTGCCAGGAATCTCAGCAGCCATCTGTACAGCTCAAGTCGCACTCGCCGCTCCTAGCGGCAACGATTTTCGGTCTCAGCAGCTGCTCCTGGGTCCTTGCAGGGTACCCCTTAAGTGCTGACAAGAAGCGGAAACAACAGCCCGGGGTTGATATGATGCAGTACAATACTCAAACTATAACCGGTATTAGCCGTCTGGTCTGGGCAGAGCAGAGATCTAGGAGCCGCCCCGCTGCGCCGTGTGCAGTGCTAAGTTGGTATCCTGTTTTTCGTGGGCCCTTGTACAGCTCATGCCACCCAGACGATGGGTGCGATCTTCGCCCAAGAGCGAGACAGGAGCGAGTGTGGCCACCAAAGCTGGCGATGCGAGCGTTCCGGCAGCGAGCCGTCCATCTGACGGCGTGAATGTCGTCCCGTAGCCGCGCTTGCTGGGGTCGTGAAATGTTTTGAGAGGTCCGGACATGCTGCAGCCGAGGTCTGGCACAAATGGTCGGACCTTCGCCTTCTCGACCACGAGCCACTTTGGCATGCGCATGCCAAGCCTGGCCCCGCCATGACCCCGGAGACGGACACGCTCAGCTTTAGAGACGTTGTTCAGGTGCTGCCCAGGCTATGCAAAGCTGTTGGATGATTCCAGTCCTCTACTCCGGCTCTCGTCAAGCCGTTCGGATTGTGTCGGATTGCAGGTTTCATCCTGTTTCCCTGCATGCTGAATTAGGTGAAAGCGTGAGTTCGTTTGTTGTGCCAGTAGCGAGAGGTCCTCCACGTCCACCTTGTGGAGCTGCCGCTGCTGAGCGGACAGCCCTTTTCTCAGAACTGCGTAGCGGTGCTCGCGTTCTCTCTCCGTTTCGCTGCGTCCACGTCTCCGCTGAAAGTTGTGCGGCGTTGCCTTGATGATCCAAGGAGCCGGGTGGGGAAGGTGCCTCGCTGCTCTGCACGGCGAGCGGAGTTCTGGCGTCAAAGCGTGGAGGCCGAAGTGCGAGAGGGGATGGCGATCGTGCTTGAATGGCACACGTCTCATCGAAAGACACCGGAGAGCCGCGGAGGCTCCAACTTACTTTTGCAGTAATGTTGTGCCGGCGAAACTCTGAATTTGAAAGGATCTGGCTGTCCGACTAGAGGAGCGAGGACAACGACTGGTTGCTTGGACCAGAAGGGCATTAAGCAGCTTTTTCAGGTTGGACCTGTTCTGCATGTCATCCTCTGTCTGCTCTCTGGGGCAGGAGGTCCGAGCGCAACAGCTAGGAAAGAAGTCAGCTTTCGGGAAGCTTGCCGGAAGGCTTTGTAAGCTGCGCGTGGACACTCAGTCTTTGCAGATGGGGCTGCAACCGGATATTCGACAGCAGTGACAGACCCCCCCCACTTCGAAGAAAAGCCTACATGCGGAGCCTCTGCTGAGGTTGTCGAAGCTGTCGAGGATCCGAGCACCTTCTTCGCCGCGCTGTGCGATGCTCGTTTGGGAGCTTTGTAAGCGACCCCTCCATGATCTCAGTCCCGCTTGACTCGATGGTTGATCCAAGAGTTTGAAATGGAACAGTGGAAGGTAAAAGTGGATGTCTGGTGCGGATTTCTACGTGTAGGTGCTTCAATCCCCGCAACTGATTCCTGCAGCTCACTGTATTCCTTTGTACCCTGCAGTGCTTAGCTGCATTCATCCCCGAGGGCCAGAATCCAAACCCCGCAATTCCCATAATCATAGCCGCACGGCGGGACAAGGAACAGATGCCGGTTTCTGGCGTGTACGCCCACCGGGAGTTCTGCGAAGAGGAGCTCGAGACGGAGGCCGAGAGCTTTAGACTCCAGACACGCCCACGGGCTGCAGCTGGAGAGGGCAGAGCGCTGACAAGGCAGCAGTGCGGCGAGCTCTCTCAGCTTGCGGTGCCGAGCTGCACACATTCTGGGGCGCTCTAACGGCAAGGGTCTCACCATGACTCGCTGAGCTTTGTAGCGAGTCGCCTTCCAAGCTTACAGCGAAGGTGCACCACATCGACGACCTGGGCTTTGATGCCAGCAGCAGGACCTGCCGGACGGGGAGGAGACGGAAGTATGAGAGTTGAGCAAGAAAGGAGTGAGATGCCCATGTACAAGGGCGAGTTCCAGCGGGCAGCCAAGCGGCGACCCATCCGGGAGGCAAGATGCTGGCCAGAGCTGCATGCGACATCTTGTGGGCAGGCGTTCCGTCGTCTCAGGTGCTGCCAATTCCAACGCTGCGCAAGCCACCGGAGAACTATCGCGCGAGGAGCGACATCGAACAGGCGCGAAGCCTTGGATTTGCGATCTGGAGTCGTTAATACGTCACGGCCAATCTCAAGTTGCAGGTGCAGAGTGCATTTTGTAGTGTATGGTGAGAGGAGAGTTCTGTGTCCACGGCTTCGTTTAGAGGCCTTCGCTTCCGGTCTTCCGCAGCTGCCTCCGGAGGAGCCGGCCAAGTTCAGCTCATCCGGACACGAGGGTTGAAGTTGTTTCGGTTTGCTGCAGGAGCGTCAGGTCTTTCGCTGGCAAGGCCGGTTGCTACAAGAATTTGAGGGCTCGAATGGGCGAAGCAAGCGCTTGTCCCGCTTGTCCAACTGCAGGCGGTGAGACAGCTGGCTTGGAGCATTTGAGAAACTACATCGAGTGTGGGTCTTATCGTATGCACATGTCCGTGCAGTTTCGAAACATACCCAGCACTGTGACCTCCGACAGCTAGTGAATGTCGTCGAAGATCGCAACTGGTGAACGTTTGTGGCCAAGTTCGGGACAACTTGCGAGTTACCGGGGAGCGACGGAGTCCTTCGCCCACGGCGAGGAGAATCCAGTGCCATGCCCCAAAGTTGTCCATCGAATGTTGGTCTCGTCGGCCATACCTTAAGCTACCATGACCAACTTTTTCGTAGGTTCTGAATACAAACCCTAATCTAAACTTTGTAGGGACCGTGCCAACAAGTAGACATTGGTCGGCTAAGGTAAAGGCTGGCATATGATGCGACACTTGTTCACGACAGCATCCTTCAAACGTATCGTGGATCACGCGGAGAGAGGGTGAGTGGTCGTATGTTCGCAAGAATGCCTCGAGGTGAACTCTGGGACTCGACTGAGTCCATGGCTGGCCTTTGGCTGCCTCTCTGCACGCATGGTCATCAAAGAGGCCACTCTTCCGGTGCATGGCAGGGTTGTGCAGCAGCCTTCAGCAGGGCTTGTGGTCTGCTGTGCTGGTGCCTTGAGACACATCAGACCCCCAAGCTTGTCTGGTCCTGGTTGCCTTCCACAAGACCCTCCTTGAGCCTCCCGGTACCCGCGGAAAGGCACGGGAGTACGAGCGAAGGCACGGCAAGACCAGCTCGGGCAAGGGCATTGGAAAGATCGGTGCCTTGGCAGAACGTGAAGAGTAGATGATAAGATCCTTCCCGCACGTGCTCTACTGTTCGAGATAGTGGTGCTCTTCCTTCTGCCAGTAGCAGTTCGTATTTCTCGGCTGGATGATGTCAGATTGGTGGCCTGCTGCTTGCGGTGGTTGTCGGATGTGAAAAACGTCAGAGATCGGACAGGTTCCACCGGGACCCGGCTACACACGGAGCTCCTTTTTCGGGACTTCCTGCGCTTCTCTGCTTTGGCCTGGGGCACCTCGCTCTTCAAAATTGGAGGCCGAGAGCGCATCGCGTGAACGTATGCATGGGTCTGCGTGAGCGCCGAGAGCGGCCAGGGCCGTTTCACGTCCAGGGCCTCGAGTGGAGCCGAGACATGGAGCTGTTCCGAAAGTGGCGCGAAGGGCAAACAGGTTCGGTTTCAGCCTGGCCAGTGCTGGAGTCTTGAAGAGCTTTCCAACGGACCGATTCAGGTTTTCCCTTCGTGGACGCCGGCATGCGCGAGCTTGCCGCGACCTGTCGGAATGGAGGTGCTTGATGAGGTCGTTCTGCGTTTCTGCCGCTGCAAGTCCTGTGCTGTTCCTGCTCCTTTTGGCCAAGGCCACTGGGTACATCTCACATCTCCATCGGCAGTGCTGTGCTGCCTTCTTGGCCTCCTGGCCAGTGAGAGGTTGAAGGGATGCAGCAGAAGAGCACATAGATGTGTCCTACTCGGCGAGGTGCGAGACCTGCGCCTGGATTGGAGGATGGGCGCAGAGCATTTCGAGTCTACCACCCAGCTTGAAGATGTGCCGTTCAGGGCAATTCGCTCTCGCCCTGGACAGCAAAGACACTCCGTTGCAGGTCTTGTCTGCTGGATCACACCCCGGATGCCAACTGGGGCAACTGGGCCTACCGAATCCTGCAGCGACCCTGCTTGGTTGAAACCCGTGCCAAGCAACTTGGCAACAGTTTCCACGAAGCTGCGCTTCAGCGAACACCGAAGCTGTTGTTCAGAACTCAGGTTTGCAATGGAATCCATGTTCAATCAAGTCAATCCATCTCCAGAAGGGGCACAGCAGTGTTTCCCCAGCGGAGGTATCCGGTCGAGGAGCACATTACAACAGTCGAGGCGCGGCCGCGACCTCTGCTTCGCTTAATAGAGCAGTCTGTATTTTCGTATGTGCGTCAGGTGGTTGCATGGCCGGCAGTCCACGATGCTCGATTAGACCACACATTGCGCTGGTGCCCCGCACCTCGGAGAAGAGTACCAATGCGTGAAAGGCTCTGATTCACTGATGGTCGGTCCAGCTTCTCGTCATCGCTAGTATTGTCGTTATCGCAGGCTAGCAGGTTGTCGCGATTTGTCACGGCTGGAGCTGTCAGCTGCGTCCCGAACTCCCAAGTATACGCCTTGTCGGCGAGCTGCGTCGCCATGGTCACGCCTGTCCTCAATCTCAGGAGCTCTGCAAGCTCCCCAAGGCCGGGGCCCTGTCCCGTGGAGGCTGTTCGGAAGTGCGGCGTGGCCAGGGCCTGGCGGTGTGCCGTGTTGTTCGTCTTTGGGTGGATGGTCAGGTGTGTTGTCCCATCATGTCCAACAACATGGGCTCGTGAGTCGTGTCAGGTGATAGGATCGGTAGATTCTGGCCAAGCTATAGGACCTGCTTGTCATTGCAGGATTTGGCCCGCGAGCCGTGGCTGACCGACACCGTGCCAGAAAAGCGGATTTCCATCAGGCCTTACAAGGAGAAGGGTTCTTGGAAACCAGCTCGGCTTCAATGAGTGCGTCACAGACGATGCTGCCGGAGAGAGAGCGAAGTGGCTAGATAAGCAGGTTCTATATGCCACATATCGCGATATAAACCGTTTGACCGATCAAAAATTGTTTCGCATTCAACAACATTTGCTTCCTCGATTACCGGCATTCTATCGGTCATTCCACATCAGGCCAAGCCTTTTGGGCCGCGACCGGCGACAAGACAACAGTTTCTAGACCTTTTGCGAACCACGCATCCATGGCATCACTGGCAGTTTGGCAATCGCCAAGCTTGGTGCCTGAATTGTGGCACCAGACTAGCCTCTAGATTCACGTTTGATAGGCTTAAACTTCTAGCGGGGCAGCCTTGCCCGAAATCCTCCGCGGACTTAGTTTCCCTCGGCGTGCATTGGACACACGATTTCTGTTTTTACGGTGTAGGGAAGGGATGGCGCTGTCGTTGTGGGATACGATTGACAATGCATGCGAGGGAGGCGAACTGGGTCCGATGTGCCAGAAGCTGTAAAGCTCATCGTTAAGCTTAGCTTCCGGTATCAGCTTTGCTGTGTTTTCTGTCAAAAAAAAGGAAGAAGCATCAGCGCATACAGGTGCACATGCGAGCGTGCACACCATGCCCCAACTCAAGCTGCTCAAGAGGTCTGAGGTGGTATGATCTTCAACGGAGTCACGCGCGTTCCCTTGATTGCTTGATGCACGGAAAAGCTTTGGTCTAATTAGGCTTCCTTCGCAGGCTGATTCCCTGCATACAGGGGAGAGACTGTAGCGTTAAGCCGGAAACAGGACTCACCTCTTTGGTTCTGTGCGGCCAACCGAACCAACTGGGACTACGAGTACTTCTGGCTTCCTGGGCATGCCTGGACAGTGAAGCCAGGCAAAAGCGAACCCCAGCTTGCACAAAAGTACCCTGCAGGATCCGGCAGTCTCCCATGTTTTCGGGCAGAAAGTCTGCTGCCTCGTATGCAAACCGAGGAAGCGAAGCTGAGTGACTTCCACCTTGGCCGCGACTACCCGAGGCCGTGGCTCCGCAAACTCGACAGGAGTTCTTGAACTCTTTACTTTCTGCCACTGTGAGAAGGCCCATCGTTCCTCCATTAAACGTGGAGCTGGACCTGGATGCAGCCGGGTGGCAGATGGGAGATGCATAAATGATGGGAAGCTTGAGAACCTCGCAGTCCCTGGTGATGCGCCATGAGAAGTGAACATAAACTGTACTGGACTGCCAGGCCGGCAAGTTTCTAGCTTACACGTTAACGGCACGTCCTTTGTCATGGAGCTTAGGAGCACTGAAGGTGAGGAAGCCTGACCCTACAGAGCACGGAATGTGCACAAGCGTCACGCTTCCCGTCGCAAACCCCCTCACCGCCCCAGCTTCGCCCCAAAACGGGACACTACATACATACCCGCATTCCAGCTTGCCTGAAGGGACACGAGGTTGCAGAAGTGCCAAGTAATTTTAGTTGTTTGACGGTCTTGTTGTTTACCGGTCCATGCGGTTAGCCAGCTGAGATCTTGCCTGTGAAGTTCCACAGCTGGGGAACTGAGCCAGCAGTGCGCCGCCACATCTGGGGAGGCCTGCTCGGGTGGAGCACATAACTTGTCCGTGTGGAGTCCTCGTGGGACAGTATTGCCTGGCAGAGTGACACTGCTTGAGATGCTTGCATCAGGATCGAAACGGCCAGACGGGTCAACAACAAGTGAGGACCAGTTCATGCTGCAATGGATTTGGGTTTGCTGAAGCCCGCACATGGATCGGAATTCCTTGGCCTCTTGCTTTCGGACAGGGCAAAGGCAAACGTCACGGCAAAAGCGGTGGTAAAGGGAGCGGCAAGAGGCCCGGAGCCTGGGATGATACCGAATTCGTCCGCAGCCCTCTCCGTGCGCTTCACTGTGGCTTGGTTGTCTAAGGTCAGGAAAGGGCCAAGGCAGTCAAGCACCCGTCGAGGGATGGCCTCCATCCGAGCCGTCTGCCCAGAGACGCAAGCACTACTACTGCTCTGTGATTGGAAGCTTTGGACCCATGAGATGCAGAGCAACCTGTAGCTACCGGTCTCGACTCCCCAGGTCCTCGCGCGAGTGCCGCAACCCTTGGCAAAAGAGACGGCATGAAGCCGACTGGCAAGAGTAAAAGCGCCGTGCATCCATCTCCCGGCTTATACGATTGGTCAAGGTGACAGGGGCTCGTCGCACAGGGCTGCGTTATTGGAAGAAAAGCGGCAGCGACAAAGCAAGTACCTTCCAATCCGCAGCAAACAAGGGGAAGGCTTGAGTTCTCTTCTGTAGCATCATGTTCGGTGTGCCAAACTAGTGTTGCTTAGTTGCAGGCATGTCTTCTCGTTCGGTTCGATCCTGACCGAATGCAGATCACGCTTCGTTTCCTTCAGGATCCCGTGCTTCAGATTTCACGTTCATCTTCGGAAACGACAGAGTGCGTTTGATGCTCCGGAAAGCTCTGTGGCATGTGCCAGATCACCAGCATCACAGTGATCGGCGGAGATGGCGGATCGGCACCCAGCAGCGTCAAGCCCGGGCCTGAGAGGTTTTTAGGTGCCGGCCGTGCAGTGCAACCCTGGAGTTGCCTGGCTTGCTCCTGTCTGCGACTCCCACGACTGCGTCCAAGCATGCAATGGACTTTGGAGCTTCGAGTCTAAGCCCGTGGGCCAAGCCGAAGCTTTGTGATGCTTCCAAGAGGCTCGCGAGCTCAGTGCTCATGGTGGGGGGAATTGAGATCTCAATTTTAATCATTGCCAGCCTGTGGAATGCTTGTGAAATGAAGTCACAGTGCTGTTTGTTTGTCGACGTTTCCCAAGCGTCTTTCTCACGAGCTCCTTGGGCCCCACAGCCCCGTGCTCCTGTACGAAGCCTGAGGCTGTACATCAACCGCGAAGACTTGGACTTCACATCAGTTGGTGATATTGAGCCAACGCAGGCACGGTCTGTTTGCATTCTCTTAGGGTTTTCACATGTTGGGGCCTTCAGGAGGTGCAGCTTGTGGAGGACTTTCACGGGGCTGTGCCGGACTTGTCTTGCTAGCGGAAGCGGCTGAATGAGTTATTTGCATGCGCACATTGTGGGACCCTGAGCTTCGACCGAGATTCAGTTCCCCCTGCGCGCTGCAAAGTTTCTGTCCTGCGCTTACTGCGGCAAAACCCTGGACCACATGCCATGTTGAGGATACTGTGCAGCGTGCTCATATCAGGTCTGTCACAAACGTCAGCCTCTACTTTCCGCACAGCCTGAGTCTCGGCTAGCGACCGACATTTTTCCTTCCTTCCTCGAATTCCTCGAACATCTGGGAGGTTTCGGAGGCGAGCGTACGCGGATCCACTGGATTGGCCTTTGGGGCGTCGGATCCGAGCACAAGCGGCAGGTAGCATCAGGGTGTGCTTAGCACCTTCAGGAGCAGCGCAAAATGTTAACTTATGATTGCCAGTTTCGGCAGGCTGTGATGACGGTCTACGAGGCTCGAGGGCATTTTGGAGGCTTGCTGCCAGCCGCTTTGTTATGCAGGCCATTGGCAACGCCAAGGACAACGACGTGAAGGACGATGCTGGAGACCCAGGAACTCGTCTTTGCTTTGGAGTGCCATCAAGGGTTAGCCGGGTCTTGGATGAGACGACAGCTGTGGAGCTATGTATCCAATCACAGCCTCTGGCAGACTCTGGCTGTGAGGAGAGACGATGTCTTGGTTTCCCTGGTGCATATAGTTCGCTCCCCCGATAAATAAAAAATACCCTAAATAAAAACCATTCGGGGAGAGCAGTTTTGCCGGAATGCGCCCCAAGACGAGTTTAAAAGGGCCAAAGAGGCGATTAGATTCGGGGACATCAGGGAGACCGTTGGGATCATTCAAAGGTAAAGAGTTCAGGTTTTAGAGTTGAGGGGTTTGGGGGCGTAGGGCCTAGGAGCTTTGGGCTCCTAGCTAACTGGCAATACAACAACAATTATTGTTAGCACCGCTTTTACTTATTACTTCTTTTTGGAGGAGTCTCGAGCTAGCCTTTCCTTGCGCCTGGGCCATCATGGCCGAAGGCACAGGAGCAACCCGGAAAACGGCGGCCCGGCTTGGCGTAGAGCCCAAGCTCTCTTGGCTCAGGTGTCGGTTCTGGGGGCTACTGGTAGCGGTGGCAGGCCGCAAATGCGAGCACTTCGTCCACGGGCAAAGCTGTCGTAGCTGCCTTGCTTGCTTTCTTTTGTAGCGGGGGACCTCCTTTGCTTTTCTTTTGCATTCGGCCTGCCAACGATGCTAGAACGACGCGAGACTTGCTCCCGACTGTTCCCTTGGCTTCCTTTGCCTGGTGTGCTGTCTTCTGGTTTTGGCCCTGAAACACACAAGCAACAGCAGTGCATGATGACAAATCAATCAACTAATGATCTCACTGCATGCCCCAATGCCTTTTCTGCCTGTTGTCTGCAAGGACTTGCTGCAGCAGTAAGGTCTGCTGCTGCAACAAGCCAAGAAGTGTAGCGGAGCGAGCCGGGCCAGCGATTGCGCTGTGTCGGACTCCGTGGGAGCTTGTTTGTGAGTCTGTCTAGTGAGCTGTTCGTAATAATGTATTTAATTCATGAGCAGCTGGTTCCTCGAACCCAATGAAGGAGTCTATGCATTAGTAGAACTTAGTTGCATAATTACTTAATTTTATTTCCTTCAGCCCTTTGTCCAGGGGGGCGCCCAAAGCTCTGGGTGCTCACCTACACGCCAAGGGCACATTGGATTGAATCGCCACGTGTGCAGCTTGAGGGGAATGGCTTCTTGTGCCATTTGGCGGAGGTGGCCCCTTACGTGCCGCCGGTGCGTGATGTGCGTGAGTGCGGCGGGCTCTAGAGTAATTAGGTTGCTCCTGTCTCCGTGCTTGCCTCCATTGCTTTGTATCCTGGCGAGGGATCGCCAGGAGAAGAGCTTTGCGTCAATGATGCGGGCTGTCTTGCCAAATGTTCCATACAACCCGCCGGATTGAGTATATCTTGCTCTTTCTGGTTGGGGGACGGGCCCACGGAGAGCTGGGTGATGCATCAAGCATGGATGAGGGGGCCACGGTTTGCCCCTTAAGCTTTCGGGCCGGAGGAGCCGCTGTGTCGTAACAGGGCCGAGCGAACCCTGGTCGACCACACACACACACACACACAATTTTATTTCCTTTAGTGTTTCATTCTGTACGAACGCGAGTCCTATGCACCTTGAACCAAAGAAGCTGCATGGAAGACATGCTAAATGGGCTCAGTTATGTAGGACATGAGTGAAGATGTTAAAACAAAACCTCTAAGATAAGAACCTATTTCAGGGCAAGCGCCGTTTTATTTTTATTTTTTGGGGGGAGGGTAGAATCGGGGGAACGGATTTCTCCCTCCCTCGAGCACCTAATTCTCATATCACGGGCACCCACCTGACGTCCTGGCACGGAAGCTAGAGGAATACCAGGAGCAGAAGCCACACCATCACGGATTGGCTTGACACTGACCCACATGTCCAGCCTTTCCCAGTATTTTTCCCAAGTAGGACGGACGTTGCCAGACTTTCTTCGGCAACCTCGTCGGGAATGTGATCGCAAAACATAGCCAGATTTTCTCGATGTTGTGGTCGCTGAGGACAGGCGGAAGCCAGTGCAGTGTGATGGTTGTTCTAGCAGCTCTAGCTGATTCCGGTGGCTGCACGCGATCTCAGGTCCTGCCAACAATGGATGCTGCGTGAACGGTGAAGGGCTGTCAAAAGTATGGCACAGAGACCCAAGAGCCGCAGCAGTGCAAAACACAAAGGCTGCAGCATTGCGCGAGAGAAACCGTTACCTGGACCACGGCTGGCATGAGACTTGCAAGTGCCGGGATCCTCAATCCAAACAGGTCTTGCAAGAGCCGCATGTAGTCGGAGTGTCCAAAAGGCAAGCTTTTTCCGCAGCGCCCGGGATGTATTCTACAGGTTCAAGCGGGGTCAAACTTGAGAAAGTCACATTTTGCATAACCTCGAAGTCAAGTTGTTCTTCCTGCATGTTTGACCGCAACGACTCCGAGTATACATTGCTTGGAGATGCAGGTTCCTTTCGATCTCGAATGTTTCCTGTCGGAGTGTGGTTGCTATAAGGCCTGCCATCATGTCTCCTCAGTTCTGAGAAGCAAAGAGAGCTAGGGCCTGCGACATCCTCGACTCACCACAACCTCGAACACCAGTATCAGAAAATATGACGTGTATTAGTGGAGAACGAGAGAAGCAGCGAAGCAGCGCAGCATGGAGCTGACTGGAACCCCTCAGAGGCCACGGCGATTTGTTGCATGTCCGCTGTTCTTTGCTCTGTCCGGGCATGGGCTCATGGTTTGAGCTTCAGGTCTAGCTTTTTGCTTCTGTCGCCGTTAAGGTACTCACGACCGTGTAGTGAAACTCAATAAGCGTTTTTGAGCTTGGAGCCTGCGCGGCGGTCTTCTGGGGCACTCGTAGATCTCGGCTCAAAAATGATTGCATAGCCAGACTTAGTCGGAAGATACCCATAAAACACATTGCCAGTGTTCTTTACAGGGATGCTGTTCGAGTCATCAGTATCTGCTGGCATTCAATGCGTTCCGGAGCTTGTGAATCACTGATCTTTGGCTTATGGTGTTGGTAGCCCCGGGTTGGGTAGCCTCGAAAAGTATACGAAGCCCGCAGTCGAGATCCCAGCACACATTCACTCGCTTGACTCGCTTTGCAACCCTAGCCCTGCAGTTTGTAAAGTTCACGATTTGCCGGGACCAGGCGCCAGAGCCAGCGAGAAATCCAGCAGAGCCCGAACACATCAAGTCGGTGCCAACCAAAGCCAAACCAGGTTGGGCAGCCGGCTGACTTGGAAGTGTCAGAGGTGTATTGACGGCGACAGCTGCGAGGGTAACTGCTTCGGAAGGCTGGGTATCTTCGGAGCCACGCAGAACCACTCTCTACACCGTTTTGCAACCAAGGGCATGTGCCACTACCTTGGACTCTGAGTTTGACAACCATCTGCTTCACTTGGATGTGCTGTTTTGCAGGGCGTAGGGTTGCTTCACCTTACATGTGAATGCCAACGTTAGTACCTTCCTCGTCGTAGCAAAGTAGCAGAGGCGTGCACTTGGTCAAGTCTTCAGTCACGCTCCGTGGAAGATGGTTTTAGTACGGATACTCTCTGACCCTCCCAAGCTGCGACCAGGCCAGAAGCAGCTTCAATGCTTGAGCGCGCAGCTCCTCTTAGGAGCTTTGCAGATATCTGCGCAGCGAATTGCCCTTCAGTTCATATATCTGACGTGAAGACTTTTCGTGAACGTCATAGCAAGCAGAGACGGCAAAAGTATCCGGTACGTAGCATGTGGCAGAGCCAGACACAAGGCCGGCACTTTGGTATTGGCCGAGAATGACTGCGTAGTCTTGTAGGTGAAGGAGCATTGCAGTTGATGAATCTAGCTGGCTTTGAAGATCCTCTTTCCAAGTTGCGTAGGTCCAAATGTCAGCTCGGGTCCTCCATTTGTTTTCTTTTTGAACATACTCTCTGTGAAATTCTGTTGTCATTTCTTCCTTCCTTTCTTCTTCCTTCGTCTTGCAAAATCAGCAGGATAAGGACTCTACAGAAGATTGCACAGAAGATTGCCTGAAAAAGAAACCTGTGCAACTTACTTTGCGCGACTCTGTAGGAGTCCTGCATGGGATCCTTGGCCAAGAAGTGCCGAAACTTGCCCTGGCCGGATGCCGCAACGCGGCAGCAGAAGCCAGAATCCTTGGCAGGTCCTGGGTACTCATGGTGGTTGTGACAGCCATTTCTTCCATCGAGTTGATTTTCTGAGTTGATTTTCTGAGGTGGCTCTCCTGCAGAAAGCTCTCCATGCGAAGGCGGCTCCAAACATTGCGGCTCACACCTCAGCCTGGCACCTAGAGCATTCCCGACACGGTTGCCTTTGCGATGCAGTAGGTAGGTTGGAAGGATGCGGGTATGGCGGTCCGCAGGCTGGAATGATGCAGATAGGTTTGGCAGTCAGGAGGTGAGGGGGTAAGGGAGGTGGGTAGGTTGGCAGATGTTCGGCAGGTACTTAGCTGGTGTTAGGTAGGTGTGCAAGCATGTAAGTTTGTGCATCATCTGCACCGGTGCATGCAAGAAGTCGTGAAACAGTGAATGCGTTATAATCGTATGCATATGTATATGCCTGCGGGTACATGCAGATACGCAGGTACATATGTACGGTTTATGTATGTGCCCGGTTGGGCCCCGATGGTGTTGACCGTTTGAAGCTTTGCAAACGGGTGGGGGGACGCTGCTGGTTGAGGACGAAGACATTGTAAGACTTGAGCTTGCACTGCATTTGCAACATCTTGGACTTTGAGGTTGTTGTGGGTGCAGGGTCGCTGGGTTGAAACGGTCGCGGACAGCCGCATCCTCTTCCAGAGCAATGCTGTCATTGTGGTTCCACGCCTGGTGGCAGGGAGTGGGTACTTCGTTTTCTCGTAGCTAAAGCTCTCACGATTGCTTGCTTTTGAGGTCATCGCTGCCTGTGGAAAGGGATCAAACTGGTCACTGGCCGTTGGTCTCTTGCAAGATGCCCGCAGCAACCTGCCGGATGTGGGTGAGCTTGAGCACAGCACTGTTGAAGCTGGCGTTTATTGGGGCTCCCCCTGCCTTAGCCACCTCAGGTCGGCAGTTGCGCCCCGACGTGCCTGCGCTGAACTCTGCGCTGACAGCCTTGGGCCGTGCAGGTCGCTGGCGCGAGGCAGGGCAGGGCAGTCGCCTCCTATTCCGTTGTGTCTGCCGCCGGAGTCGAGAAGTGCATGAGACATACCCAAGACTTGAACTTGCCTCGCGAAGTGCCCAACCAACCTCGAGGAAGCGAATTCTAATATCAATGCTTCAGGCCACGGTGTACCTGGACTTGGCAAAATCGTGGTGCTGCCAGGGTCAGGGTACATGCTGCATGGTTTCGAATGTGAGACTCTCGCCTTCCTGAGCCGATGCGAGGGGACAAGCCTTCTGGATTCTGGTCAGATGGAGCTCCTTACTAGGGCATCGGGCCGCGCACAGTGTTATATTATTTCGGTACTGCTTGCTGGGGACCCGCGATGTTAAATGACAGCTGGAACTCCACTCAATTTCATCTTGTGTTCCGCTGCTGGGCATTTAGAACCAGGCCCTTAAGCACAAAGGCTTTACTTGACGAGCCCATGCATGTAAGAGGTGCCTCCATCCGTCCCCAGTTTCGTTCGGCGCTTTGCTTGATGCTCCTCGGCGCACTTTGCATCGCCAACCCATGAGGTTGATTGACAGAATTGGCCAGTCAGGCTCTCGCACGGGCCACCCGTTGGCAACGGGCACTCTGCGTACTTGACGACGACGATACGTGCCTGAGGCTGAACCAGAGTCACTCGGGGGGGGGGGCAGTCTTTTTTGCTGCGGCAGTGCCGTTTGTGGCAGTTGTCTATGGGAATCTAAGTCCTCATTTGGGTACATGCTTATGTGGGTACAGGCATTGGCATCAGCTACCAGCAGCAGTAGCAGTGACCTGTTCCTGCGTAGCGCCACGCATGCAGAGTGACCACTGAGGGCAGTTGGCCTCATCGCCTTCAACTCCGCCCTCACTGCATGTGCTCCCTGGCCCGAGATCAGAGCAAACTTCTTCGTCACCTGACCCTGTAAACCTGGGACATCGGGCCCAACAGCTAGAAGACGGATGCAGGAGAGAGCCTCCGAGTGGGGGCAAGCGATACAGCTGCTGCAAGAGATGCGACGGTGCCTGGGCTTGATGCCGTAGCCGGAGGGACAAGGCGGACACGTTCCACAGGCAGCGGTGAATTGAGCACAGGCTTCTCTGGGTGCTTATCGATTTCCGTCTAGGTACAGTGAAACTTCAGCTCCAAGCCTCAAAGCCATTGGATGGAATTGGTGATGGCCTTGTGTAGAGGAGGGTGATGGAGGGTGCTGTGCGGAGCCTCTGGAGCGAGGTTTGGTCCTCATCCGGACATCATCAGCGTGAACGCTGTGCTCGCCGCTTGTGTCTCAAAGTGGCCTGAAGCTCTGCACATCTACGCGACCTTGCCTTCGATGGAGCTTCGACCGTGGCTTGCTTCCAAGAGCCTCGCGGGGCTCACAAAGTCCCAAAGCCATCATGATAGGGCTTGGGGCTCAGGGTGCCCCAATCTGCCGGTTTCAGCGCAGTGCTTGGCCCACCTTCTGAGGAGCATTGTGACTCTGAACTCCATCATGAATGCCTGTGCGAGCGGCCTGCAATGGCAATTCGCCTTCGAGCTTTGGCGAGGCTTTGTAGCTTGTAGATTCCGGCCTCATGTTATGTGGATTGCCGTTGCATGCTGTTGCTTCGCATGCAGGTGATAGGTGACTCTCCGAAGAAGCGCATAGTTGGAGCTCGGTCCCCGATAGGAGTGCTGCCGCCCTTGCAGCCGACCGAAGCCACTTTCGGCGCCCTTCTCGCCTCTTGTGCTCTCGGACCGCGGGCTCTCAGGGTGGTAGGACTTCGGCCGCACAGCTTATGCTTATACTTCTGCTGCAGAGCTGACCAGAGCTGTGGGGTCTCACTACGAACCCTGGAAACGATGCATCCATGCAAAACATCATAAGCCAGTCTTGAAGACACCTCCCTTGCTATGGCATCTCGGACTGAACTGACTCCGCGGGTTTACCATGACTTTTTGATATGCGAAGAAACCAGCCACCCTCTCCCCAACGCCACCGCATTCCTTCAATTGAGCCCACCCACACCGGTGATGCTGGTGGAAAATTGACGATTTTCACGCACGATGCGAATGGAACTTGTCAGAGTTTCCATGCATCATGAAACTCGGGCGGGCTATTTCGGCAGATACGGTCCAGGTGGGCAGGAGGGATGTATGTCGAAAGTTTTGAAGAGGCTCCGCTCGTACCTGTGGCCAGGACCAGGCTGGCAAGTTTCTGTGGCACTGCTGCAGCAAAGATGCTCGGCTTATCTTCGGATCCTGTTTTGTCTCCTGTCAGGGTCACTATGTTGAGATTCTGGGTTTGAAAACTCAGATCTCGATGGATTTGAGAAGGCTTTCTACAGCAAGCCCGAGCCAATGTGGCCAACTGGACCAGTACGCTCACAACACTGCATCGTGAAGGCCAGGGCCACTGCTCGGTGACTGCACGTGGCATGAACAACAAGCTAAAGCAGAAGGAAAGCTTTGGCAACTTGCATCGGTCAGATATGCAACCATCCTGTAAGGCCGATTCATAGATACAGTCCGATTAAACTGTGTCTTTCTTTTTCCACACAGGGCGGCATAGTAATGTTTACTTATTGGCTTCTGTATCGCAACTTCAGCATTGTCCAGACATGCACAGCGTTCCCGCGATGCAGGCCAATGGGAGAGGGCATCATCCCTCTTCTGGGAAATGTATCGCGCTGCCGCCGGGATCTTACATAAACAGATGGCACAAGGCAAGTGGTGTTCTTCATCTGGATCTGTCAAACTGCCCTGCTCCGTTTTGCATGTGATGATGGTTACGGGGGCTGATCGGGCAGTGAGGTTGTTCCCAACATGCTGACGATCGATGCCGCAACTTGCTAAGAAGGGTTTTTGGCATTCGGACGGCATCGAAACGAGGCGAATAAGTATCCACAGAATCCGTTCTGCTCCCCGACGACGAGCTCGGTAACCATAGCCTCAGCGACAGCGATACTTCACCTTTGCTCACCTTGTCGCCTGCAGGCAGTCATAAGACACACCCAGTCGTCCGTTGTCGTTTCGGCTATCCTGAGCTTGGAATGGGCAATGCATGGCTAGATAGTGTGCCAGCCCGTGGTTTAAAGGGCGCATCAGGATGCAGTGGTGTCGAGCAAGCTCTGAAGTAAAGAGCGTCCCCGACATGTGCACACAAAGAGTTGGTCTACATGAGTACTCCTTGGAGCTTCTGAGGTCATGGTAGCGTGGCAGCGCAGCAGCCAGTGGCGGAAGGAGCAGTGCTTGAAGTAATTTCCAAGCTGGGCTTTTTGCCAGACTGCCGAGATTCCCTGTGTGGAGGCCCTCGGGACGATGGCAGCGCTGCAGAAAAAGGCACTGCCCATCGGTTGTGGGGCCATGGCGGCGTTGCGCAGCGCCTGCGAAGAGAGACATCAAGCATCGCCGGCAGAGGCCATGCAAACAGTAGTAGTAGATCTTCGCGCTCAAAGTTTCGCATGTCGATGGTAAGTTTGGAAAACTCACATGATGTCATCCTTTGCTAGGTCATCTCGGCAGTGCTGGCGTCCACAGCAGCCCGTCTGCTCAGCAAGCAGCCGAGTTGTGGCGCAGCAGCTGACTTGCCCACAGCCATCAAAGGCATCCAGAAGCGCTTGTCCAGCGCAGGTCAGGGCCCAGTTCTGGAGCGGGGAGAGCATCTTCAACGCCCACTCTGTTCCATTCGTCACTCAGCCAATGTTTGAACTATAGCGCGTGGCGTGTATTGCCAAATTCCTGAGGAACTTATCTTCAAGATCATTCGTTGCACCTCGCCTTGTGGTTGTCTGGGCTTCCTATGCAATGTGCCCCACATGCCATGATGATCACTTTCGAGGCCCTGGCTTCATTGTCGCCGCATTGTATCACCGCTGGCAAGAGGCATTGCTGCCTCTTCTGATGTGTCTTGACGTTGAATTGGTGACAGGCCAGGCCGGCACGGATCGCGAATCAATTCAGTAGCTAGAGCCAAGATGACTAACTTAGATTAACGGCTACAAGCAGGTTTCTTTTAGAGAACTTTGTCGCGACATGCACTTCAAGCAGCCTGCGCTGAAGATACTCAGGTGGACAAATTGGAGGCTCCTTACGCGAGGCTGCTGCTGTGCGAAACTGGCCAAGCTGGCGACCTTAAAATTTTTATTGCAACTCTACCGAAACGAGACCCCCATATTGCATTACCCCATTCGGCTGATCCACAACACTGGCTTTCGACTCACAGAATGGGCAAATCATCTTGAACATCTATATATATGCACTCTTATTTATCTACAATTTAATAGATATAATAAAAACACAAATATTCAATATCTTGACCGTAGAAATCTGATTAACTAATCATAATAGAAATATATACATATACAATTACAAAGATACTTCCATCCCTATTTATCTATATTTATTTTACATTATCTTTATATTTAAGTTGATTTGATTGTAATTATAATTACTTCTCTTTATAGGATTCAATATCAAAACGAATAAATATATATTTATTGAAATTCAATATTTAGAAATATTATCTAAGATATTTAATATAGAATTATAATTCTGAAAGATCTCGATTTTCTTTAAATTCCCAATCTTTTAATATTGATAAATAATGAATATTTTTTTTATTTATATTATTCAAAAAGAGATTATTTTCGATCTTATTGAATTATTGAAATATTTTTTTCAGAAAAATATTATTTGCTAATATTATAACTATTATTTAATTTTTTTATAATATTAGTATCTAATATGAAATAATTTATAGGATCTTTTTGGGGATGGGCTATCTTTTCTTCTTGGGGAAGGGGAGGAATTAAAGATTTTGAATTATATGATTGAAATTAAATTTAGAGGGATGAAGAAGACGAGGTATACGAGATATTTCTTTATTTTAAGGATTATTATAGAATATTAGACGAAAAAAAAATATAATTATATGTCTGGCGTTTTATAGAAGCTCTAAGCAAGTCATAAATTCTTAAAAATTAGGCGTAGTCTTATTTCTATTGAGCTTAATTTGCATATAATTCCTTAAGCCTTACCCCTAATCTGGCTCTAAGCTTGAAAAAAATCATAAACTATCCCTTAATCAACCTACACCCTAAACCCTAAGCTCTTATCGATTCACAATCTTATATTTTTTAGCTTTAGATCCCAAATCCCAAATTCGAAAGCTTGAGCTAAACCCTAAACCCCGAAATCTCGTATCCTCATCATAGACCATATACTATTAGGGAGGAAGGGGGAGAGAACCGAACCATATATATATATATAAAATATTTTTTCTTAATTATAGATATCGAAATTATAAATATAATTACTTATAGATTCAAGATCATATATACTTATATAATAGATCATTCGTAAAATTTTGATATAATAATTAGTAAATCAAATTCGATATAATATCATAGACTCATAGAATATATTCTTTAAAATAATGTAAAAAAATTCTATGAAATGATAGCGCAATGTCATGAAAGCAGTAAGCTTGGGCTTTTCTGCGCTCGCTTGAGCCACAAGGTCGTCAGTGCGATTGATGCCTCGGCCGATCCTGATCAGGCTACTGCTCTTCCACGCTAATGTTCACACTCCTAAGAGTTTTCTGATCAGGATTCGGCTTCAGCAGGATGGTCTTGCCATCTATCATATCCAAAATGGCGTGATTGTTTACAAGCTTCTTGGTCAACCCGTCTGTGATTATACGATCGGTGGTTGTCCATATAATGGAGGTGCTAGCGCTCGCAGGCGGGCGATCGCTCCCTAGGGGATCACCGAGATGCTCTCCGGCTTCGCGCCAGAGTTCTTGACATAGAGCATACAAGTCAATCGCCAGCCGTTTGTCAGCAACTGAACCAGAAGCCGGGTTCATCAAGTGGGACCACAAAGAGAAACAGTGAGTGATCCATATAACTCGGATTCTGTCCTGGTCGGCTGCGATCCACTCTTGTGCTTGCCCTTTCTGGTGCTCCATATAGAGCTCATGGATAACGCACCGAAGATGGTCCGCCTCTGCTGCTCCCAGCTGCAAGCTCAACGTCTCGGCCTGTAGCGTGCTTTTGCTGACCCGTTTGATCACCGTGCTGTGCCAGCTGATGAGGTAGCCGGGACCGTCCATCTTGTCCATCTAGTCGGGGCCCGCCATGAACAGCAACCTTCCGCTCTGGCTGCGGTATCCCATTTTCTGACCGCTGCTACTGACATCGTAGTCCGCAGCGTAAGAAGCGTCCTGGACCACGAGGATCATGGCCTTGTCGAACTCGAAGGCCTTGGCCGGGTAGAGGATTCCTTGTTCACGTGTCCGGGTGGCGTGCTTGACGAGGGCATTTGCATCGATGAGGTCTTGAACACAAGGATCTGAGACCGCCGTTTGGAGACGCGCAACAGAGTAGTTGAGGTCAGGGCGGCAGACCCGGACGAGCCAACTGAGACTCCCTATGACCGATCTCAGCTGGCTGCGTTCTTGCGGCGAGGCTTTTGCGGTCCTTTGTCCCCTTCGGCGGGGATCCATGGCAATCGGTCGCACACGGGCAATGAGGTCCGGACAGGATACGTAAATGTCCCTTTCGTCTTGTCGCAGCTGTCGGCCGCAGTAACGAAAGCTTTTCTCTTCGAGCGCCCCGAATTTGTATGTCTGTTTGACTCTGCCCATGAGGTCCTGCATGGCTTGGTCGCCGCACCATGACAAGTCATCTACATGCACCAGAAGAAGCCCCTTTACATAGGGCTCGTTGTTGTTCCGGTACCCGGTGAGGACATAGAAGCCGGGTTCGTGAGGTACTCGTCGGAGACCTTCTTGCACCAGCGTGCCGTCCAACTTCTTGAACCAGCCCCTCGGTGCATCCTTGGTGCCGTATACCGTGGTGGAAACCACGATGTAGTCATCGTCCTCCATGTCATAAGGAGTGCCCTGTTTCGGCATGCTGAGAACAAGCTGCCGATCCAAAACGGAGCCCTGGAGAAAGGCAGCTGAGATGTCGCCAGACTTAAGGGGCTGCATCGTGGAGGCCGCAAAGGTCAACAGAACTCCCATGGCAACCTGAGTTCCCGTCGGGCTGTCAGTTCGCATCTGCGTGCTGTCCTCAAGGTCGCTTCTCACCACGAATCTTGACTTGAGTCGCGGCTGAGATGGGTCCTCGCTCTTGTCGGTATCGACCCATCGAGTCGGGATAACTCGCATCGTCGGGTCCTTGGACTTCATCGCCGCGAACTCGTCCTTGCTGATCTTCTTCATGTTGGTGTAGCCCTTCCAGTTGTCGTAGGACCAGAAGTAGTGGTAGAAGACGATGGGTTTCCAACCGTGGGTGCCTGTGACAAACTATCAGCTGCTGCGCTCTCTTCCCCGGACGGGACAGGACCAGAAGTAGTGGTAGAAGACGAGAGGTTTCCAATCGTGGGTGCCTCTTCCACCTGGGCCGGTGTGTCTTGAGGTTCCTGCTCTGGCTGCGTCACCTGCCGTTGTAGGTCTTCCCCCGGCGCCTCCAGAGCCATCGGCTGGTCCCCAGTGGGAACCATTTCCCCTTGTCTCGTTGCCGGGAAGCGCTCCTTCACGTACTGGTCCGGTGCCGCCCAAATTGAAGTAGGGATTCTGTGCGGGGTCATCAAAGTCACCAAGCTCTTCTTCAAAAGGAAGAACCATAGGATCATCAAGATCATTTTCTTCGTGCTTCCTTTTCCCCGAGATCCGGGCCTAATTTGGCCGAATCTCAAGAGCCTGTCGTCTTCTTATCTCCTCGACCGAAGCTGGCCGAAGGGACGTGTCGGGAACAAGGACCGTCATGCCACCATGCACCAGCCAGTACGACGACTTCCCCTCCTGGGAGAGGACCCTGGCCGGCCCGAACCATTTGCCCTTGCGGAAGTAGCTCACCAAGTCTCCTGTCCGGTAAGGCCCCCGGACGGGATGCAACTGTCGAAGCATCGCCCTTCGAACTCATTGGTGCCCATCAATATGGATGAAGGCCTCGCGCCCCCATTGTCGAAGTAGAAGACACCGTCCAAAAGCAGAGTTCTCATCACTGAGCTCCTCCTGGGCGCCGAGATTCTCCACATCTCGTTCCTCGGTAAGCGATATCATCTCTGAGGGCAGCTTGCCCAAGACCCATTGGCTGGGACAGTAGCCGGAATGGTTGAAAGACATATTCTTCATAGAGATGCATTGCTGGATGGCCACATTGATGGCACTGGCTCCCTATATCTGGTGCTGAGTGATCATCCGCTTGAGCATCTCCTTCAGCATCCCTCCGTGCCTCTCCGTGCGTCCTATCTGCCACGGAGCCTGCGCTCTTGCCATCTTGACCTCGGTGCCGTAGGCTCGAAACATCGCCGCGACCTGGCCTCTGTTGTGAACACCCTGGTCGCAGGTGAAGATTCGCGGTGGCCCAGCCCATGACACCCAACTATTCGAGATCATGTCGGCACACTGCTTGCTGCCACGCACGCCTCCATCAGCAACCCGGGCCGCCACGTGGAACTTGGTCCCCTGGTCAACAAGGGAAAGCACAGTATGAGCGGTACCGGCAGCATCACGAATCCCAAAGGCATCACAGCCCAGCTCATGGTTGAACCTGAAAGAGGGCGCCGTGCCGACTGAGCTCGGTTGTGGCGGCCGCTGCTGCTCCTGACAAACTTGGCATCGAAAGTACCGACATGCAGAGACCACCTGTGGAGACGAGCCAGCTGCTCGTAGCATCCTCACCATAGCCTCATTTGAGGCATGCCCGGTCATGTGGTGCAGCCGCCTGATCGCAAGCCGCTGTCGCCTTTCGATCCGCAGCCACCGTCGTTTCCTCTCCTTCTCGTTCTCTGGCTGGGCGTCTTCCTGGGCTTCCTCCAGAGCCTCTTCTCGGCGAAGCTCCTGTGGTTGTAGTGGAGGAGGTATATGCACAGTATCCTCGTCCTCGGGACCGTTGATGGCATCCAGGTTGCCCAGCTCCTCGCCTTCTTCCAGCCAGTCCTCTGCTGCAAAGGCCAGGGTGCAATTAAGATTGAGGAGGTCACGGCGCACACCTTCAAGAACGACGCGGCTGAGATCGTCGGGCCATCGGGGAGCAAGGCGAGCTCGCTTCAAGGAAGTCGGTGTCCAGGCCCGTGTTGAGATGTCCTTGGGGTCCTCTCTCTGGCGGACCATCTCTTTGAAGCCGGGCGAAGAGATAAAGAAGCCCGACGTTTTGGGAACCGCCGCTCCCGTGACCACATCTGTTAGCCCCCAGTCGGCCTGCTCAACGTACAAAAGCTCCGTCTCACTCTCGGTGGCCGGGTTATACTGGCCGAACGTCTTCTCAAAGGCCTTGGTCTCCCACAAAAGACCATCCCAAGCAGCTTCTAGTACCACCTGCCGTCCCTGCTCGGTGCGGCTCCGGACCAACTCGGCCAGCCAATAGAGGGCATCGTACCATTCCCGGCGTCCTGTCTTGACTTCTTGGACCTGGGTCGTGCCGAGAGGAAATCGAGCCGACTCAGTGGTCCACTGTGACCAGGGCAAGGTGGTCGGCGAGATAGCCAGTAGGTATGGGTCCTGACGCTCGATGTGGCTGGCCAGCTTATCGCGAAGCTCAGGCCGTCGAATATCCCAGGCAGCCGTCGTGAGGTCCACTGGGGCTGAAACCGGCATGCCATAGCCGACCGCCAGAGTAGTGAGGGCTGCCGCCCCGGCAAAAAGCTCCATGAGAAAGGTGCAGCAACCTCGGGGTAGTAGCCGATGGGTGCGCCGAAAAGGTGCCACGCCTCGAAGTTCAGACCACATGGCTGTGTCCTCCCGTCGCATAGCCTGGTTGTTGTCCTGAAGCACCTTCTCCTCGGCCTTGTTCATAGTCACGGGCTTCTCCTCGTCAAAGGCGGCGTACATCCCGGAGGCTCTCTCGCCGTCTCGGTGGGGAGGTGCGTCCTCTTCTTCGTAGAGGTGGTTGTAGTCGCGGTAGAAATAGGTGTAGCCTCGCCATGGTCCGTCCACATAGTCCGTGGTGTCCAGGCCCTCGGGCCGAAGTTCGGCCCACTTGTCCCGAAACTCGAGGCTCTCCTCAGCGCCAGGAGGGAGGAGCACAGTCCTCCGGGCCGTCATGTCCATGACCTTGGCGGTGATATCCGGGTCGTTGCCTTGCTCCAGGCGAGGATCATAAAGCTGTTGTCGTGGGTTGATGGGGACCCGGACCCAAACTCCGCTCTGCTCCTGCCAAAAGTCCTCGTCCTCGGCGTCCTCCAGGGCCACAAGCCCGGAAGGGTCGTTCTTGGGAAGCTCGGCATGCATGGCAAACTGGGAGTTAATTCCATTATGTAGGGGCAAGAGATGTACGGCAGGAAGGCCATCTCGGTCAACGAGCTCCAGGGAGTTCCCAAAGAGCCGACTGTAGGCCGTCATGTTGCCCAAATCTAGGACGATCTGAAGTTATTTCTGGGCGCGGCTGCTCATAAGAAGTGGCGCATCGGAGTCTTCAAGCTCCACTGACTCAAGGGTGCCCTGTGCCAAGGAGCCGTCGGCCAGCTGAAGAGCAATGGGCAGAACGCGCTTTCCTAGAGCCCTGACCTGGCCCCCGATTCCACGAAGACTGCGGGCGTCATCGGCCAAGAGCGGCTGGTACGGCTGGCCGCAGGCCTCAAAGTACTTGTGTATCCACCGCTCGCCGTGGCACGTTTGATTGCATCCCGAATCGAGCACGGCCAAGAGGAAGTCTTCCGAGACCACCGGCGATGCCGCCATGTAGGCGCGGCGTTGTTCATGTTCCTTGCGTCGGCGGGCTAGGGCATAACGGTGAAAATCTTGAAGAGTCCGGGCCACCAGATTGCCCCCTTGAGCCAGCACCTAGTCGTTGTACTCCGGGTAGTGGTCGTACACTTCCTTGAAGCTGCTTCCTTTGTACTTGCCCGACTGCAGGCGTGTATCATCCGAGATCCCGGCCTCGCTCGGGTCGCCCGGCTTGTCAAGAGGTGTCCGGACGACCTTGGTATCCGTGCTGCTGCTGTCGGGCGGTGCTGGCCCTGGCTGTATCGGCGGGGCTTGTAAAAAGGAACTCCCAGCCGCAAGTCCCGCCTTTTGGCGGTAAATATCAGCACACTTCTGCACAATCCCCGGAAGACGGTCCAGGCGGACCGGGATGCCGCCGCTCTCCTGGACCATCACCACGGTGCCGGCGAGCTCCATCACCTTGACCGCGTGGGAGTCCGGTCCTTGGGCAAAGTTCCCCGCCAGCGCTCCACCCAGAATATCTCCGAAATTGCTGGCCTGAGCGTCTCCCTGTCTTCCTTCCCGGCGGGTGCCGCAATCCTTGCAGTACCATTTCCAGGTATGGGCGTTGGTGCCTTGCCGGGTAACATTGAGGTGCGCGCAGGATTCCGGGCTGTGCTTGAACGGCGTCTTGCCCTCTGGTGCTTTCTCCGACTGTGCCTTCTGGGTGCGCTCGAGGACCATCTTGCAGTCCAGGCAGCTTCGAATGAAGTAGTAGCGCTTGGTGCCCTTAGTCGTCGTCCTCTCGTGCAAGCACCTTGGGGCTGGGACCGCGTCATCCTTGACATCCTTCTCGTCGCGGGTGTCCTCGATGATGTTCGCGGCCGGCTCCGCAGACTCGACCGCCTCGGGAACAGCTTCCATTCAAGACTCCGAGGGAGAGGCTCCTTCGGAAGGCTCCCTAGGCTCCTCCATGGGGCCCTGAGTAATAAGGAGCTGTCCTTCGTTATCGGCCGTATCCATGGTCCGGGCCTCCGCAATCATCTGGTCCAGCACCACGTCGCTGTTAGCGCGAAGGACCCGGATCAGCATATCCTGGTCCATGTCCACACCGTCAACAAGCCGGCCTGAAAACGGGGCCCCGCTTGGGACCTCAGCCAGGGCTGCCCGATCCACAGCAACCATTGCCGAGCTTGCGCGGGGAAGTGCTGAGGGGTTAGCGGTCTTGATCCCGGAGTCCTTGTTGTCCTTCTTGTCCTCGGCTTGCCTTGGCCGGCCGCCAGACCAAGCCAACAAAGACGAAAGAGTGGCAGGTGGCGCCACCCCATCCAGAGAGGATCGCGTCCGAGGCGGTCCTGGCTCGGTGTCCAAAGAAGACGGCGGCGGCACTCGGTTGTAGTTGGGGCGCTCTGCCATCATCGCCGCCGGGGCCGCAGGAACAGGCTCGGAGATGGCAAAGTAGACTGGGCGCGGCCTTGCCGAGCCATCCTTGGACTTGCTCTTGCCCTTGCTGGCTGTAGTCGTGGTTCCCGCGGTTTCGAGGCTAACCCTTTTTGGCATTTCCCCTTTCCAGAGCCCTTGGGGCAGGAGGCGTCGTTGGCCCAGTGCCCTCTCTGGCCGCATCGTTTGCATGTGGTTCTCTCCTTGAGAGAGCTGATGCGAGCCCGCCTCTCCTCAATGCTCATCTCCCCGCGGAACTCATACTTTTTGCCCTGAAACCCGGAATATCCTCGCTGGGCTGCCTGCTGGCGAACCATATAGGCTTCGCCCTCTGCTTGCAAAAGCTCCGCCACATACTCCGCCGCCTCCGGGTCCTGGTTCTCGTCAAAGCCGTCCTGGACCAGGGCCGCAAAGGCGTTGTGAATCGCCTCGTCCTCCTCGACATAGTCATAATCCTGGGTCGCACCCTGGTAGTAGGCAGCCACCTCGTCCTCGAAGCCGCCAAGGCTCTGGCTGTAGGCGTCCCAGGCGTGATAGGCCTCGTCGGGATAGCCGTAGGTGTCGCCATCCTCAGGCAGCTCCGCGTGGTAGCCATAGCCCTTGCCTTTGGGGTAGTTCCGGAAGGGGCCCTTGCCACCATAGCTTTTGCCCTTGGGTGGGAAACCACCTCGGCACTCCTTGTTATGGATGCCGCTGTGCTGTGCCACCAAGTCTTCGCAGACGGCGGCCACTCTGAGGTTTTTGCCCACCACCGTTCTTATTATAAGGACCTGGTCGTCGCTCAGCTTGCTGTTTTGCAGCACTTGTTCAGCTAGCATCTCCTCAGGTAACCGGATGGCCCCGTCGAGATCTTGGAGTAGAGACCAGCATGTCCTTCTCCTGAGGACATACACCGTATGTAAAGCGGCCCTCTCAAGCCCTCCACCAGGCGTATGCCTAGTGGGCCGAGCTTTATAAGCTCGCTTACTTCCATCCCGCTCTCCTTCATCTCGTGTAACTTCAGCCGGTACGTGTACTCTTCGAGCTGGTGAACGTTGCCATCGTAGCGCGGGATACCGTACTTTCCCTCAATTAATTCGCTCTCAGAAGAAATCTCCATAAATTTAGTTACCTTCCAGTAACGGCATGGCGCCAGACAAGGGGAGGACTTACGCTCCAAAATAAGAACTACCTCAGGCTTATTTAGTAAGTGACTACAAAGGCCCCTGGAAGCGAGCTCAAAGGCTCCGCTACCAATATGAAATGATAACGCAATATCATGAAAGCAATGAGCTCGGACTTGTCTGCGCTCGCTTCAGCCACAAGGTCGTCAGTACGATTTATGCCTCGGTCATTCCTGATCAGGCTACTGCTCTTCCACGCTAACTAATATTCCCAATTCCTATTTTATATTTTCGAATTATATATCAAGAAATATAGAATTTTAGATTTATCGACGGAACTAGAATATAATATCGAAACTATAAATATACAAACTTATTTATTATAATCAATATATATAATTTAAAAAACTTCTAAGTTCAATATGAAATTTTTGATATTAAAATTAGAACATATTATCATAATCGAAAGAAATCAAGAAATCTATTTAAGAGATATAATAAATATCAAAAATAGATAAAGATTCATACTATGATTAAATAATATAATTAAATAGCTCACAATATCAAGAAATTAATTATATTTTTTTCAATAAAAATATAACCTTGAAATAATATACTTTCTTTAATAAATATAATATATAGAAGTGTCGAGAATAATTGATCTAATATTCGATTTATTGACAAAAGAGAGTTGGATTCTCTGAGTATCAATAATGGGTGCATAGAATTCGAGAATTGGAAGTTGGGTGCCTGTTGAGCTAATCTCTTGGTCGTGGTCTCCATCATCAATTCTTTTTCTTTTGGGGATGCCTGGGTGGTCTCCTGGTACTCTCTTGGTGGTGTCTTAGTCGTTGGTGTTGTTGAAAGTGTCTTACATGTTTTGAATAACATACGACGTGGCTTTACGATGCTTGACAATCGAAAAATATTTAGTCAAAATTCGAAAATGGCATCATGACGCATCACGCATTGCACTTATGACCCGGTTTCTCTCTCTCTTTCAGCAATGTCAGAAAGTCAAGGTCGTCAGGACCGAATCGGGGTACAAATACCCAGTCAAATCCAATGTCCACATCTGACAATGGCGCTGCAGGTGGTGCACGTGATGCAGCGGAACCA